AAACGAAAAGATTTTGCTTTGACTCCACCGCTTCAGTTCCTCAACACAAATTGAACATACTTTGTGGTGACCAAGATGGATATTGGTCGCCCAACTACATGTTGAAATAAGTTAAGTAAACATGTTCAGTGAAATTGGAAATATTCATTTGGTGATTTTTTGGTACGTAACTAGCACCAATGTAGCCAAACAATCGGGTGAGGCAATAATCATTAGAAGCCATCGTAAATCAATAACACCAAGTGAAACTCTTGCCACTTCGACAAAACACATATGTGTCCAAGATAAAAAGAGCCAGAAAGGAAAAATCGGAAACCATGAGAGATACAAAATCGATTACATTGGAGATGAAGCCCGTTTAAGAGCTTAATTGAATGACGTAACTTGATGATGACAATGATGATACTGATATCATGATCGGTCGATTAAATGCTATCGATAGTAATTATTGTTTATAACTTTTGTAATTTTTATCGGCGCGTTTTCGGACCTTTCCTTAAACTTTCTAGGCAAAAATACGAATCGAATGACACCTTGGTCGTAATTTTTGGACAGGGCTGAAAAATGTCACCAAAAAGAGCTAAATCGAGTACATGTGAACCAGACTAACGTTTTGAAATTTATCAACTAAATGATTATGTTAAATCAATGAAGTTATCGTCAAAAATACTAACTCATACCAGGTCTTTTTGTTTCCGATCCATATTAAAAATATTATTGGTAAACGGTATTTTGTAGAGCTCAAAAAATGGCAAAATAGGTAGGCAACGTTTTCCTAATTTAACAGACACAGTAGTTTCAACCAGATTTGGTTGGTAGTACCATTTGGTTAGTAGACTGATTATATGTATAACAATTTTTCTGCCATATTTGTTCTCTGTGGTTAGTAAACTCCTTCTTATTGTGATAGTGTCATAAATATTTCTGTAATTCTACAACAAGATACAAGGTTACCTGCGAAATGAATTATGTGGTGAATTGACTTTAGAATTCGAGTCCGAACCTCATTCCTTATCCGATTAATACGACTTTGAGGATGACGTGTGCCCGGATCAAAACTCGTGAAAGAAAGTTCATTGGACTAAGTGGTGAATTGTCGAAAGAGCATTCCTTTCCAAACATTTCTGTCTCCTTGTAGGTTACCTAAGTGGATTCTTTTGATTGATAGCTGCAATCTAGCGCTTGAAGATTTTCGTTCCTAAGGAGAATTTATGTTACTTTATGATTTACGACGAGTGAAATAACTATCCTGAACTAAATTGATGGATGTAGCCGTTACTACGAGGTAAGAAGATCATCACGAAAAATGAGAAATGAAAATTACTGTTTTTTACCACTTTTATTCGCAACTAAAGTTACCGCAGTTTTGTTCAAACTTATACATTTAACAATGTATATGTTTGAAAATGTCCTTATAGGACGAAACTGCAGTAACTTTAGTTACAAATCAAGGTGGTAAAAAATATAGAAATTTTCATTCTTCATTTTTTCATCCTGAACTATTTGAAGTAAAATATACAGGGTATACATCAAAAACGTATCGCAAGGTATAGCTTTCAGGGAAAGAATATTTCGACAAAATGGTTAAGGCTTTCGCAAACGAGGTTTTCAGTGTAACTATTTTTCTGGTTTGAAGGCCGTCGTTTTTTGGAATTTCTTCCTGACGTTTCGCTACGCGAGTGACTAACTTCCTCAGAGGTTTATACATACCTGGATTAAGAAAATTGTCAATTCATCGACCCTTCTCTACCTGTCGTCATGCTGTTTGCTATTCTTGAATTTCTTAGAATGGGATTCCACCTTTGATCGAGGTTCACAGCTTCTTCTTTCTGTTGAAATTATTCGTGTGTGTGTGTCTGTGTGGAATATTTCGCAAAAATTCGAAAACATTTCAAATTTGTTTGCAGAAGTTTTGGCCCAAAAATGGAATTGAGGGTGTAGTTGATGCTTTATTAAAAACCGCTTTTGACTAAGGGTGGATTTAGGGGTAATTACACCCTCCCGATATCAACTTTCAATACATTACGAATGACCCCACTTTCCATTTAAAATTTTAGGGTTGTTACTCACCCTCGCTAGGGGGTTGAAGCAAAATTGACCTGTCCGAGCATTTTTGCGTTAAGTTACAAACAAAGGAGAAAAACAAGGTGCATACTTTTCGTTGGACCACTCTTTATAGTTTATATTTTATTTTAATCATTTATATTTTATACACTTATACTTCATGTTTATATTGATATTTATTTATGACTTTGAATGTTGAATGCATTATTTCATTCCTCTTTTTCAAGTATTTAAATATTTTTTAAAGAAAAAGGTTGAAATGATATGTTTAAAATGCGTTGTTTTAGAGCTCTTTAATGAAAACTACTTGATTTTCGTCAGGAGGAACATTCTCCATTGCACTTAACGCCTCCAAAGAACTCTTGCGCCAAAATTGGTTCAAAAAGTCACGTTTACGTTCGATCTTTCCACCCCCTCGATTAAAGCGCCATTGATGATAACATGCTCTAGACCTAACTTGCTCGTTGAATCATGTGGTAAATTGGCGGGATTCACGAGAGCATTCCAAGCATTTTCCTCTTATTGTCCTATTTTCTTGTTCCGCATCTGAGTCGATTCTTCTGCAGCAACCCGAATGACTTTTATCAAGTACGTGAATACTTTCCTACGGGCTATCATCTGTGTTCGTATGGAAAATCCTCATTTCAAGAGTCCATTTGGTTTTACGGTTTATGGTGAGCAGAAAAAAAAATCAACCCAACCGCGAATCAACTTCTGGGAATATTTTAATATGAATTAAAATTGGATTTTTAAACGACTCACTTTTGTCCCTGAAGCATCATAAAAATATGTCTGGCATCACAAAGACTTATTCCCAACCTTCCTCGCGTATTCTTCAAAAAAAAACGCTACTCACGTGTAAATCCATTTTTGAATCAATTAGCCTCATCTTGATGTTCTAAAATTGAAGTGTCATCAAGAATGAAATTGAAGTTTTCAGTGTAGTTGCTCACGATGTTTGGATATCCTAGAAAAGTAAAAGTATTGTTACTTGTAATAACTGATGGAGGAATATTAGCTTGAAAAAAAAATATAGTGAACATTAGGGAAAATTTTACCTAATATCTCACCTTTCGACTACTTCTCTGCATTTTATAAATTGAATATATCCGATAATTGTGTTTTACTATAGTAAGACCGTGTAAAATATAGAGAAAAGTAAGTTTTCCAAATAACATTCTATCGGTATGTTTCTGGAAACTAAAAATTTTGAAATAATTGAGCGAATCTACTGATTTCTATTATAATTGAGAAAGAAATTCAAAACGTAAAAATTGCTTCACGTAATATTTCATTCCATCATGAAATAGTACATAAGCTGCTAATGATGAATAAAATATACGCCAACTCAGTTAGCAACTTTGATAACTCAATCAGTATTTTTATAGTGAAATCGTTCAAAATGACGATCCAATAACATTTTTTACGTTCATTAAGATGTAAGAAAAAATTGACTGACACATTTTTCACTTTCAACTGTCCTTTTTGAAAACCCTGTATGTAATTTTTTCTGACAGTATATGATATTTTGATTATAAAAACTGTTTTTTATTAAGTGGAAAATTAAGAAATTATTTGAGTTTTGAATCAAAATGTGTTTCGTTGAAACATTGATTCGTATGACAAAGTTCATCTTGTATTTACCCCCATAACTCATTTATTGTTCACTATACAAAATAAATGTCATATAATTTTGCACTTCAAATATCATTTTTTACCAGAACATACAGGACTTTCCGTTTATTTTGTGTTTTGCATTTTGATGAGTGTAGTTCAATATATTCTGATTGAATGATATTAATGGAAAATCAATGGTTGGTAGAGAATTATGTAATAAAACGTTCGTAACGCTTCATTATTTCACGCGAAATTATTTAATCACCACTGGAATGTATAACGGATTTATGGGTTGACTGTTTTTTTTTTAATTTTCTTGAAGCACCTGCCCCAAGTTGGGCGCCAAGATGGAGGGAGGTTCGAACTCTTAAAGTTTTTTGAATGGGTTTGCCGTTTTTTTTAATAACCACTTCAGGCTGACTTTTTTAGTGATTTCAATAATTTTGTTGCTGAATAAGTAAAATGACTAGTACACACAATCTAACGAATAATTGTGGCTATGTTAACATTTGCATTATACACTTAGGTATAGTCTTAGTTACTAGTTGTTATGTCAAATTTTTAGGTATTGTCGTATAAACCCGTTATTATTACTCTGAATGTCATTTCTATAAGAAGAATCTTGTCACAACCAATGTCGGAAACGCAGATGACGAAACGTTTACAGCAATATGTGAATTTAAGAATAACGAAGACAGAACCGCTAAAGCTAAGGTTTGCGTTCAATTAGAGATAACTTTTGTTTGGATCATAGCTTGAACTCAATACATCGAAAAAAGAATAAACGTAAGTCGTCAGCAATTTTGTACATTTTGAGACAAATTAATGACGTATTACTATCGTTTAACATTTTAGTGTTCTTATTGTAGAGTTTCTAGGTTATATTACCCACATAGTTGTACATCCAACCAATGAATAGTGGAAATTTCATAATAAGTAAATGTATGTTGTAATTATAAATTTTAACCTCAAATGTAGGGTGTCTCCTCTGGAGACACCCTACATTTTGTTTTATAAGAGAGAGGACATTGTTAGATCAAGATCTTCAGATGGTGTGGTGCTGCAGGTTTTTCTGGGTTTTCCTGCAGCTGAAAAAGCAAATGCGCCACTGGAATCAATGAAGTCGNGCGCTGAAATTAATGAATTAGAGGCCAAACAAAGTTTCACACCGATAAAACTGACAGCAATAATATTATCATCCGTGTGTCATTATTATTGTATGTAATATATTCATCCGGCTTTTGCCAAAATCACATTTTGTAACTTGGCTTATAAATCAGATCACTAGAACAAGGTAGTACCCATTTCATTTGTTTCAGAAAAAAAATGAACTTGAACTAGTCGCTCAACGTCGAGGAAATTGGTTGTCTTGGGCGGGATTGGGTCTGATGTCGGTCCAATTCGGAATTCTCGCCAGGTTAACATGGTGGGAATATTCCTGGGACATTATGGAACCGGTGACGTACTTCGTCACTTACGGCACAGCTATGGCATGCTACGCATATTTTGTTCTCACCAAGGAGGTAAGTTAATTAGATGTATTTTTCAATTTTTCATCAATTCTTCGTTCTCCAGCACAGTTATAAAATACAGCTTCAGGTGCAGCTTCGGCCCTGTTTCGACCCGCCATAGATCTCATCAGTGACGCTAGGCTGAACTACAAATACCACCACCATGTCCCCCCCTCGGGTTGCATGTTCCGATGATCATCTTCTGTTTTCATCAATTTTTTTATATTATAATCACTTTCAAAAGCTGTGATAGTTTTACGTTATCAACGTTATTGTCAACAGTATATGTCTAACGCACACTGAACACTGAGCCATGCGAAGATTGGCGAGAAAATCGTTTTGTCCGATATATGGCTAGCGTGCTGTGTGTTAGAGTGAGGAGAAAGGAATGCCAGACATACTAGCGCCGTTATGCGTTACGTTACCAAGCCGTTTAACCCTTCCATAAGAAGTTATCACTTCATAAAGTTACTTGAAACATTTATTTGGGTAGATATTTTCATAAAAAAATTCAGGAAGGAACGCAAGTGATCATAATTTTGTTGGCCATTTCTCATCATATATTATCTAGCTTCTTAATGGCAGGTATCTATTTGACAGAGTCTAATAGTATAGCTTGTCGTCTTCATCAAACAAAAATTACGTTTCCTTGGTTTATCTCAACCCCACTGGGCTCACTTCTTTAGATCACTGAGATTGTTGTACCTCCCTCGTATAATTTTATGTAATTTTTTATTTTTCTTTTACTTGTCAACATCCTTTTTTGTGAAATGTCATGTTTTCTAAGGTCGATATAATTATTCAAATCATTTTTCACTTATTCTCATTTGAAATTTTGCCAAAAGCGTGCAGTTTCTTGATGTTTTATTGGTAAATTTGCTACAAAATTGTCTCTTGTTCAACCATGTACTAGTTACCCCTCATTTGCATCTTTGAGTAATTTATTTTTCAATAAAACCCTTTTTCTACAGTAGTTTTTGTTTTTTTTTCCATATATGACTAGATCACTCAACTCTTCTCGGTGAAGGGGAAACTGGAAAATCTTACCAAAAGTAACCCAATCAAAAGCTAATAATATATTTTTTCCAGGAATACATTCTTCAAGATGTCAGAGACCGCCAACATCTCATTATCATGCACAAAAAAGCCAAGAAACTCGGCATGGACTTGAACCAGTACAACATGCTCAGGCAGGAAGCTGTCCAAATCCAGAGCAAACTAAAAAAACTGCGCAACCCTCTAAAATTGAAATTACCTCCGAATGTCTTAGCACGACAAATGAATCCTTTAATGAATGCAGTACCTGGAACTACAAGTCAAACAACCACAGTAGATCCCAAAGAGGCCAGCGAAGTACTGAAAGGATCTGCATGTGCAACTGCTGCGCCAAAGGATTCCCTTACAACTGCCGAAACATCAAAGGAATCATTAACAAAAGAATCATCAACAGAGAAGTCATCAACAAAGGAATCATCAACTATTTCTGAAACAACCACCAAAGAGCCCAAGAAATGATTGAGAACTTCTACAAGTAAAGAGTTTGTTTTTACCATCTTTAAATTATTATGTATTTATTTATGGATGAATTTTAAGAATTTCTTAAGGAAATAACCATCGCTGTTTCTGGCGATGTCGTGAAAGCTCAAATATAGATTAATAATTATACAAATAGTGTTTGTACGACGCCAAGTTATGCTTTTTTGTTCATCTTTTTATATGAAAAAGTTAAACGAAAATTTGGGGAGTAGTCTGAGTATGAGAAATTTTTGTGAAAAACTTTTCGCCCTTTGAAAATATATACATTTTCCTATCATTAAATGTTTCGGTCTTGACAATTTCAGTAGTGAATTGCTGGATATAAATTTATTTGTGATTTTTGCTAGACCTGAAATTCTTTCGTAGTTGTAATATTTTCCTGCCTATCCGAAAACTTTTTCTTGTCTTCCATTTCAACCGCCAGAAATGGTATATTTTTTTCATCAACCAGAATGCAAATTCAATTTTACTGCTGGTATAATTGATTATATTAGTTAGTTTGATTTCCACTTCAAAAGTACCAGTCTAAATGAATTTTCTGATGTAATATAGAGTAAGAATTCTAGAAACATTTGTACTAAATCCGTCCTGTTTCAAATTACCTCTAACAGAATGAATTTCAAAAACCATTTTCTAATTTTTTTTTAATGTGAAATTTTTCAGATTTAAATCATCTTGGTTATATCTTTTAAAGATTTTCCTGATATTTTCAAAGTAGATTCCACACGTATACTATATTGGCATACAAGATTCTCTTAAATTGAAAGAATTTGTCTGATATTTGATAATACAACTTTCAGAATCATTGAAAAATGTATTTTATCCTTACTCATCTAATTTGAAAACTTCACACAACTCTGTTGAAGTTTATCAATTTTTATCGGTGAATATTATTGGTGCTTTAGATCGTAGAATATCCTTTGCTCCTTTTACAAAGCTTTAATGATATACTGCAAATACGCACCTGTAAAAATGAGCACATATTGCTGTGATTTTATTGTGAGATAAAAACAATCAATGCATGTTTTCCTTATGAGCTTAAAGGTTTTCCTAATTGACACAGATAATCTTGAATACTAACAAAATCGCTGCTTAGTCAAAGATTTTGTAAATATTGTTACAAGTGCTGTTTTTTCACTACCGAAACCAAAACAATATGATCAGTAAATGAATGTAAACTAATGGTGTGAATTAAATTTGGACCAAATAAAGCGTGTTTCCTTTTATTAGATTCAATATTTCAATTTTTACAAGTTGCTTTTTGGTGAGGAAAATGCAGCACCCAGTAAATTAGTTATAGAATAAACTTCTCTACACTTATATTTCTAGTGCCAAGCAAGTTATGCAATTTTTATAGAATATATTATGGCTCTATGAATTTTATAACTCTAAATATAATACCTACCTAAAATATATACAAATTTTTAAAAATCACTGAAAGTTTTGAACTAACATTTGTTATATTTTCGGTTATGCAATGAATCTGAAATTTGAAGATTGATTCATTTCATGACTGTTGTTGAATGTGTTATGAATCTAATTTTTATTGTGGTGAGTTCATTTGAATTTTTTATGGAAATCAAGTGTTAGTTTTCACATTTGTTGTAGGAATGTTAAGTTTGACAAGTTTATAGTAAATTTTAAGTTGTGATTTATCTTTGCCAAAAAAGAACTGAAATTGATCATATGATCTTGAAATAAAATCGATTCGAGAAAACATATTATGTTGTATGTAATTTATTTATTTGGAGTTTAGTTTAAATTGTCGTTTGAAGAGTTACGAGGGGTGTTTATAAATTTCTGAGAATTTGGCTATTTTTTTTTGATTCTGTCAACTCTTTTCTTCATCCTCATTTTCATGGAATATCATCTAATATCATATCTGATTCTGTAGCTTAGTCCACTTACTCTTACCCAACTCTCTCTGTAACTTTCAAAACATCAATTATCATAATACTGCAATGAATCACATGCACAAAAATTTTCAAAAAAAAAGACATCCCGATCATTAAATATTTCAAAAGACGAGAACGTTGAGCCCACCTGTCTAGATTTTTTCAAAGTTTACTTGCTCCATTATCTTTCATGTTTCAGATCTATCAAGTATTTTTTTTCTATATCTGCAATTGACGAACAAGATTCCTCAAAAGTATCACTTTTTCATTCTGTTAATCTGCAAAAAATTACCAAATAGTTTTCTAATATTTTCCGCAGGTGGTAAAAAATGCATATTGTGATGATGAACCAATTCATATCTCCTTTAAAATTGTTCATCCCCTCTGATATCAATGCAATTTGGATCAATTTTCTTGTAACATTTACAGTTTTACAGAAAATATCCCCAATAGTTTTTCAAATATTTGCATAGTAGGGTTCCCCCAATATATATAGTACTATATTCTCTTCGGTCAGAGGAAAAAAAAAGTTTTATCGTTACTTGTCTAAATTCAAAAATGTTCACAACTCCATTGTAGTTTATAAATTTATTAAAATGAACAACACCGGTTTTTAGATTGTGGATCACCTTTCATTGCTTTCACAAAGCTTCAATAATATAATGCAAATAGGCCAAATCAATTAATATAACAATAAATGCTTGTTTTCTCAAAGAGCATGAAGATTTTTCTAATTGATATATGTAATTTTGTTTCAGTCAGTTTACGTACGCTTATCTATTTATGTAACTAGTTTTTAAAGCCATCTTCAACATTTTCTTGGAATCTCTACATTCCATCTATTTTTGATATATTTTACACTATTAAGCTCCCAAATCGAACCCATATTGTTTTTTTATGTTTCGGAAAATAGGAGCCAGATCTGGTAAGTCGTGTGGATATTCAATTTTTTTTCATTTGCAGTATGAGGTCTCTTATATTACTCTGTTATAGTAACGCAAGTTCGAGCAACTTTTCAGGTCATCCTTAGAAATTACTTGTGAGGCAGATCTGGTTAAGATCTAAACAATACTCTGCTTCACTTCTAGTACCTCTCAGATAATCTCTTCACATTCCCAGATGGCAACCACCAATACCTTTCCAGTGGATGACATTGCACATGCTTCAAGGGGAGGTCCTTCTTCGACTTTTACGCAATTCTTTGGATTGAAGTAAGGTATCCTTATTTTATCCATTACCAAAATTGATCGACATAATGCGTCAAAATCTCAAGTTGGTGGCATGTGTAACACCTTTGAATTCCTGTTTACTTTGCACCCAAAATTTGTGCAAAATTTTGTGAATCTATGTTGTACCTATTTCTTCAGACTACACTAATTTCACGAATATTATATATTTGTTGATAATTTTTGAGAACAATATCTTGCAGTGATGTTTATTCACAGAGACACTCAGACACTAGTATCTGGATCATTTTCTAATGATATTTTACCAGCTTCAAAAGATTGACCTCTAAAGAGACAGTGATTTTAGATTTTTCTTCTGGTTAAAACATTTCTGAAGATTCCAATTCTTTAAATATTGTCAAAATGATTGAGATTCAATAACATCTTTTATAAAGGATGTATTGCTGAGAAACAATGAAAGTCCCTAATATTGCATGGAATAGCTATGCAAATTTGGAAAACCTCATCTCTCACATATAGAGTGGCTAATAATTTTTACTTGGTTGAAATAGAGTTAAATTCATGAAACTTTGGAAACTTCCCTCGCATTTCTATAAATATTTTTGTTATTCAATCATGCCTTGTAACACAAAGTTTTCCAATATCACTTTGAATGAAATTCAAAGGAATATTTTGAGTGATTATCATGATTGGATCAAGAAATTGTAATTGAGTTTTCAGTAATGAAGTTCTGCCTGAATATCTGACCTGAGCATAAGGCTGTTGATTGAATGAAGATTAGTTTAATGAAATTATTTGATGAACTATGGTTAAGTATTTTTCACAATATCTGATTTGTTGGTATGTTCAATGTGTTTGTGTTCTGTTCAAAAATGATTCTCATTGTGACTTGATTGTGTATATCGTTTGTAAATAAATATTGCATATTCCTATATTGTAATATATATATTTGTTGCTCTTATTCATTTTGTTTTCATTTGAAAACAGTTTTCTATTTTCATGAATAGAAAAGGTAGTACCTACCCTGACCATCGGAGAGCAAGGGCAGTATGATGTTGGTATTTAATGAGTTCACCATCACAATTGGGTAGCCTCTGCTGACAACTAGTCTGCCACTTAATTTAATTACATTTTGGCGTACATCACGACTTTGATATGATCCAACCGACTGGTTGACAGCAACTGCTACATTAAATACCGAGATCATACTGCCATCGCTCTCTGGTGGTCAGAGTAGGTACTATAAATTGCATATCATGATAAATTACACATAGCCAAATAATACAAAGCCCTTCTATGGGATTTGTATTATTTGGCTATGTGTAATTTATCAAATGAACCAAGTGGAAAAACTGCAAAAATAGTGTACTACCACGTCTTGTTTGAGTCACATGCCATTTTTGTCATACCATTCTGGAAAAGCTGTGATATTCTATTTTTATCTATAAAAATATTTCATTCGTTATAATTGCAGAGAATATCTTGTGAGATGGAGAAGTAGAAAATCAAAACCTTTCTTTCCTATCTCTTTTCATTTTAGAAATTCTGTCTGGTGCACAAAAACTAGTTTTCAGTTTCACCTGTGGAAATAATTTCAAACTACCCTTTCCCTTCACTAAATTTAATGAGAAATTTAGTTATTTACAATGCAGGTAAAATGTATAACTATCTTTCTGTTGATATTAAAAACATATCTCTCAACATTTCCCAAAAAACTATCAAAATATTTCTCTTAGAGAACGGGTTATTGTCCAAGAATAATTTGATAAAGATTTAAGGTCCACTTCAAGATAAATTAATCATATTTATTGGTGGTGACTCGATATACTTCATGTTATAATTTCATACCTTTTTATTTATCTATTCTTCCTTGAACCCACATACAAGTACACGTTTAATATGTTAATCATATGTGAGTAAAAGGTTCCTTTAAAATTTCGAAACATTTTTTTTAGGAGATGTAATTTATTTTTTACTTTTATAGCTATATGAATGTCGATGAGATAACTTGAAATTTGTATCAAAACTTGTTTGAATACTAGTAGCGACACCTCATGATCAAGGGATGAATGTCTTAATTATAAAGATAGTATTCTTCATCTTAGTTATTTACTGTTGTACAAAAGTATTATTTTAGTTTGAATAAAGTCGGTCGTTGTTGAAACTTTGAAGGAGAGAGTGTTATTTATAACAATGACTTCAGACAACAAAGAATATTTTTAATTGATTCATTGATTCTATTGTATAAATAAAATATATCACAATTTGACCTCATAAGTTCACACACACGCCCACACTCAACTCACACACACTTCATGTCATATTCTCCACTTTTCTATCTACTGCATGTTGTACGGAGGAGGTTGGTGATATTGTCCTGGGTTCATCTGCTGCCTCTGCAAATGAGCCACTAAAGTATGAGATGGTTGACTACCCTGTGGACCCCCTTGTTGTTGTTGCTGCTGCTGCTGTTGTTGCTGTTGCATGGCCATCAACCTCATTCTTTGTTGCTGCTGGAATTGGTTTTGATTTTGGACGTTGGGTTGCATTCCTTGCGCACCAGGTCTGGAATATGGCGGGGCTGGACCACCCTGGCCAGCCATTCCTCCCATTCCCGACATGCTAGTATTCATAGTGACATTGGGAGCTTGTTGCATGTAGGGTGGACGGGGATTCTGCTGGATTTGCCTGTAGTCCGGTTGAGCTGGTCGAGGTTGTCCGAAACCTTTAAAAAAAATTTGAAATCTTTAACGGGTTCATGAAAGGTTAGTCTTTTTAAAATTAAAAAAAAACTAACAATGCGTTGGCGTCCCAAGTTCTGACTAATTATTGTAAATTTGTTATTGTTTCGTTAATTATATTTGCTTGCTATTTGCTAGTTGTAATTTATGGGGTCATAAACATGTCTATCTGACCAGTCGAAGCAAAAATCATCATTGCCCAGCAGACATATTAATGTCTGTCCAGCAGTTTATCTGAAGTGAACTTGATCAAGTCCTTTGAAAAGCAAGTTTCTGAAATGATCAAGAAGTAGATGTTTTCGCTTTGTTCATTTTCGGGGTGAAAAATAGAATGTCCAACTTATAAAAATTCACTAAACTTCGAAAATGACTTTGAAGTTCATTTTCAAGGTCAAATCCATAATCACCATTGGACAGTTAGGAAAAAATATTGTAACACTATGTTTTACATCTTCCAGGTCAATATCACAAACAAGTTATAAAAACCGTCTTAAATTTGGAAAAAAAACTTCTCTATTATGAAAGAGAAAATATAGGAAACTTCCAAAAAAAGAAAGAAAAAACATAACATTGTGACTTTGTCACCGAAGGAGACAAACTTGCTTTTGTCAAGATGATATTACGAACATGTTCAGACAGTTTACTTAATCTCAGCCATAGAAATTTCATTTGAATTGAAAAGGGAATATTTATAGGAGAAATCACTTCTTGGAGAAAAATCTTTTTGGCTTCTAACTTCCCCATCATTAAAAAAAGTGGGAAACTTCCAAAGAAAGGAAGAAAACAATAACTACAATGAAAACTCCTCTTAAAGATATGTACCGCATACGCATTACACTTTTTCTTTCAAACAATTTTTATCGAATTGAAATAGATATCATTCATAGGAACACTGTGATATATGAAATATTACTGATATAACATGTCACATGGAACGCTATTAACCTCAATTGTGTACTTTGAAGTTTCGGGAAAAGACAATTGTCATATCACCAGCACTGTTTTCAATAACAGTATAAGACAAAGCACTCATTTCTTTCATATTTTACTGGAAGAGACAAATCTGCTCTTGTAAAGATGACAAGTATACACAATCAAGGGAAGGATTCTTTGAAAAATATATTTGAATAATCTCAAATTCCTATTGGAGTAAAGAAAGGAATTAGAGAGAAAATGGGATACTTTGCAAACTTTCTATATATCTATATGATTGACCTACCTTGCTGCTGTCCCGCAAACATATTGTTTTGAGCTCCTTGCATCATTTGTTGCCCTCCTTGCATCATTGTCTGTGGGTTGCCACCATAATTACCATACTGTTGTCCCATCGCTGTCTGCATGCCACCATACTGCTGCGGAAACATGCCCTACAACAAAAATTATCATTTCAGAAAAAATTAAAAAAGTTTACAACTAATAAAGCTACCGTGTGTTAAATTGAATTTATTATGAAAATTGTATAATTATCACTATAGATAATGATAATAATCAATCAAGTTATTCGCGGCCATTACTCAATATATCAACATTTGAAGTCGGAATGGTTCTTATTCTAACCTGACTAGGCTGCATAGTGTTTGGATGCGGTTGTCTTATAGCCTGCCTTGGGAAACCTCTCTGCATTTGGGGATAGTTAGCTGCAGGCTGTTGCGTATTTGGATTTGCCTGCATGCCTGGCATGAATGTGTTGATGGAATGTCTTGAACGAATCATATTGGACAGAGCTTGTTTCGGAGTATTCAGTTGCTGAGGTCTTTCAAATCGATTCACTGGAAAAAATATATAGCCTATGATTTCTCACTTCTGTTCCACTTTTCGAAACTGTTTGATAGTAAATACTCAGCACTAAGTTGGCTAAGTAACTTTCCTCTCTTCCACCATCCCCTCTGACTAGGTGCTGCTAGATCTGGTACTTTTATATTGGTTACTAGTCCAAAAAATGATCAATCTACACCAGACTTTCATTTGACTTTCATTTTTGCTTGTTATAAAGTTTCGACAGGAAAGAGCTTTCTGAATTTCGATATTATCCTACCAGGTGCACAAACTGTGACAGCAGTCAGTTGTAACAATAATCTTGAAAGAATGAAAATGGCCATTTACATATGGAAATGAGAAATACCATATGAAAAAATCAAGGAAACAAATGATACGAGATTTTGTCAAATATTGAAGTTAATATTCAATAGGTGACAAAACTCATTAACAAACAAAAATGAGAGTCTTCAAAAAATTAGACATTTCTTGGACGAATAACAAATAGAATGAACCGGCCACAGAAAAGTCAAAACGTTGATCACACATATTTCCATTGGATTTGCAGAGTAGTTTATTAGCTGTGGAAGCTAAAACAAATCTCATACTGATGTATATATGTGATTTGGGGTACTGAATTTGCTATTTGAGCTTCAAAAGAACAAAATCACACACAAATGACACAAACAATATTTTTCAAGTACCCTATATTCAAATTATGAATACACCGACCCGTTACTAGATGAAAATTAATATTATGATAAATCTGAATGTTTGCGTTTATTGATTTCCAGAAATTCCAGCAGATTACATTTCTGGCTAATACTTTCTGTATGTGATATGTCGTAGTCCATGTTGAAATCGTAGTTGTTCTCTAAAAGGTAGCAAGCATTAGTGGAATTGGTTTTCTTCAACTAAAAACTTTTGTTAGTAGTCTTAATTTCATCTGATGATAGATAACAAAAGAGAACATTAAATTGCATATAAGATACATAAGGAGCAGCAAGTCAAAAGTGGACAAAGATAATAATTCAGGAGAATAGTCTACAAGCGAACATGTGAATCATGCTCAAAAATCAATATAGCAAGGACTTCAAGAAACTTCAAAACAAGAATCTTTGGACATACAAGAAGTTTTGAACTGAAGAAAACCATTCCATACATACTTGCCATCTTTTAGAGAACAACCACAATTTCAACATGAACTACAACATATTACATACAGAAAATAATGGACAAAAATTGAAATTGCTGAAAACTGGAATCAATAAATGCAAATATTCAAATTTTCTTTAAAACAATCAACAAAAAGTTATTAATTTGCCATCATTTTGCTTTTCATTAAATGTCAAAAATTAATAAATTTATGAATTACCTGTTTTCCCAGAAGTAATATTGTAATATAATTGTTTTTTTTTTCTCAAAATCTACCTGTTTTACCAGAATTGATCATTTATCTAATTAGATTTTGTAATTATCTGCTGTTATATAGAAGACATTGTAGAATAGTTTGACGTACTAGTCCATTTTCAAAAAAATATTCATTGAGATATCAAAATAAGGAACATATGAAAAATGATTACCTGGCATCTGCTGATAATATCCTTGCTGTGGGTTCTGGCCATACCAGTTCTGCTGACCTGCGTTGCCTCCATACTGCTGACCCTGTTGCTGCATTCCAGGACCTTGAGCATACCCGCCCATGTTATGGCCCATCTGAGGGTTGTTTCCTTGTATCGGCATTCCGGGGTTGCCTTGGCCTAGCGGAGACTGCCCCATTGAGATTGGACTAACATGCATCGGACCAGGACCTGCCTTGGGTTTCCTTGGCTTCCTTTGGCCTTTGCCTCGACCTTTACCAACTCCTCCGGCTGGGCTCTGATCCACTGATGATGGTGTGTCAGCCTTCAGGTCAATGTCCTTTAGCTAGAGGTTTATTGTATACACACGACAACACAACACAATGGGGTGAAGGACATGGAATTTGTAACAGGAATAGATTTAGTTTTATATTGATACAAGAATTGTTTGAAAAGTAACTTGGTCAAACTGCATACAATCGTATTGTCCGTTTTTTAGAAATCAATAATCAACAGTTGAAAGTCTACTGCAGCAGTGAGTCTACAATAATAATACGCATTGTAATGACAACAACTTGCATATACAAATATATCAATTCATACTTCAGAAAAGTTTATCTACTAATCTATTTCTAATTACTTGTCAGAAGAAAAAACTGTATATCCAATACAGTGCCGACGTAAATTATCCTTCTTTATCTAATCCATTAAAAGAGAGTATGAGGTAAAATGTATGTTCTTATAAGATTGTTCTCTTTTCAGGGTAGCATAGATCCCTGTGTTTTAAAAAACTGACATTGCCTACTTAAAAGATATTAACGTACAGGTACAAATTGATCGAGTATGCAAACCAATCATACCACCATTAGGGTTATTTTATATCAATGGAGTAAATATGTTATGAGAACGAACAGAAAAAAAAATTAAAAATAATTTAGTAAAGATTTCTTGTAGGAGTATTATCTCTGCACCTTTTGTAAAATCCTACCCCGTAGCTTTACCTAAGTTAGTAGTAGTAGTAGTATTGGCCAATATACTGTACTCATTACAGTACCATTATGAGAAAAATAATTTTGTGGTTGAATAAGAGCAATGATGTAACTTTTAAATGAGTGTTCTTGAATATAATGCATTTCAGAAATTGATCAGTTGTCACTGATTGTGACAATGATTATTTCATTGCCGAGGGTCGAGAATAAATTGAAGCCAAGCTTGTATTCCTTGCCTTTGCATGAAAAAAAAGTCATCTTGTCAGATTCTCAATACAATGTTTATTAACCGTAGGATACTAAAAATAAATCCTCTGACGATTGTAAAAGCAGCTCTGGCATCTCAGGCTTTACTCAAGATGCAGGAATTGAAAATTTGTTGAAATCTATCTTACTCCACTTGAGCTATAAAATATAATCAAGCATTTTTATGCTCAACAAAAACCGAAAATACAAATATCCACTTTTTTCTGGAAATCTATTCCTATGAAGGTCATGGATAAAAAGGAAGTATGTTTTTTTACAAGGAATTTGAATTGAAAGAATACTAAGCAGTGGAAATACAATGATTAAAAAGCAAAAACTTACAGGTTTATCAGGTATCGGTTCTAAATCTTCTGGTGGTAGTGGAGGAGGATCCAAATAATGTGATGCAGGCCTCTGCAGATTGTGTGTGTGGTATTTGAGTAGCCTGTGTGTATCCTCACAAGCCAAAGGTTTCCTTTCTAGTCTTACAGCTCCAAACCATGCCCAAGAAAGAGGTGCAGGATTCTTCATCCCTTCTAGAATATCCCAACTGCTAACACGTTGTTTGTCACTCACCTGCAAATTAGTTATTGAAATAAGAATAATCCACATATTTTTTATAAAGAGAAAAAAATTCACTAGAATTCTTACCTGGAGATCGTGCTTTTTATCAACACTATCGAAGCTGAGTTTGTTTCCTTTGCCAGATCCCGCAGGTTCAACAGCAATCACTTCTGTTACAATTCTTGGTAGAGGAAGTAACTGGCAAATATGCAGCAAAGAAGCACTCTGCCGATCTCCCACTTCCTTTTTCAATTTCTTCAAGAGATTCGGGTACATTTTCCTGCTGTCGTCCTAGAAAAAATATAATTTTCAGAATCCCAAGCTCAAAACAATCACAACATCCTCACCTGACTGTCCGTTGCTTTTGCTGAATGAACTAAAGTAGCTAACATGTCAATAATGACGGTAAACAGATCGTTATGAGTGTGCAGATCGATGAGACCATAAGTTACCAACTGTACCAGTAATAATGCCCAGTCGGTGGTTGCAGACGGATTTCTCTGGAATGCTTCAAAAACCCCTCCTACTAGAGCAAAACGGAGCTGGAGACCCTCCAAAGTCCTTTCACTGCTGCAAATATCCTGTAGATTGCCTTCTTTTGCCTGCTGTACAAGCTTAGAAAAAAAAGTGTTCAAAGAAAGGCAATAAAACTAAAGTCAACATTCAAGACCAACATACAAAGTTATTTCATAAACTACACCTCACGATTTGATCTCCACAAATTTTATTTGAAAAATATATCACGACATATTTCGCTAACACAGTAGCTTATGAAATTACTATGGATCTTTACCAAGTAAAGGCCGAATCGATCAGAAAAATATAAAGTAATAGTTAAACTAAAAAAACTGTTAATTTCATAAAGAAAAAATACTTCCCTCTTTCGTCTACTGGGAGATAGTTGACTAGAGGTTGATGAGCTGGTTGCATTGCCTATAGTCAAGGTATATACGGAGCTGTTTAATATTTTAGGAATTATCATAATGAAACAGATTCCTAATGAATGAACCACATCCAAGGTATGGTATAACTGGAGAGCAATATAATATTCTCGAGCATTCAAGTCCCTGACTTAGAAACTGATTCCAATAGTTGACTGTTGTGACTTAATTGTGACATTACAGGAATTTCTCTGAATACTTTTAAAAAATGTGTAGAAATAGAATTCAATAGTTAACCAGATACGATGTTAGTTTCATGTTTATATCATTTAAATTTTATATATTTACGTTGATATACATTTATACATACATTATGAATATGTTGAAGAGAAGAAGGAGAACTTTATTTAGAAATAGGAACCCCTAATATACAAACAAATAACAAAAACGAATATTAAGGTATAAAAAAATATACAAAATAGAAAAATACTAAAGATTTAACCTAATGGCAATCAATTATGTTATTTCTAGTAACACTCCTCCATAATAGTCTTACTGACTATCTTAAAAATCTTAAAAAATTTGGCGGGCAAAGATTTACAAGATAAAAAATAATAATAAGGAAGGTAATTAACTCTTATGTAAAGCATAACTTTAAAACACCTGCATATTTAATGTGTGCAATAAAACCTTTAATTACTAATGATTCCATGGAATTGAGCTTGTTAGTTCTGTTTACATATAATAGATCAAGATTTCTTGTATTGTGGTTATGTATGTTGGATGTAATATTAATGATATGATATGCTGATTATTGGAAAAACAGATTTAAACAGATATGGTGTTTTCTAATCATCCCTCTTGCGTTATGGTATTGCATTATGTGGAAGTTGCAGTAGTTACCTCTTTAATAGTACTGTACTCCATTCAACATTTCTTTCATTCACAATAGATGTGAAATATTCAATCATTTACCAGATGAAATCAAAGATATCGTGCGTTTCAAGAAGTTCAGAAAGGCAGTTAAAAATCTATTGATAGACCTTTTACACCTTGGCAAATATTTCAATGATTCACTAACTCAGTAGCACCAAGTCATTTTTCATTATTCTTATCATTACATGCTTTTTCGTTAACCAGCTGTTGCACTCACTTATGAACCACAACCATCAAAAGTCAAAACTTGTGCCAGCTGAGGATTGACAAGGTCTTGCTTTTTGACATGCGATTTCTAATACAGAAATATGTGATATAGATAATTTTTTTATGTGACTCTTTTCACTACTTTGTATTTGTGTTTTTATATCTAGATCTAGGAACATCTGTGAACAACAATTTACAGATGTTACTAGATCTTGGTTTTTTGTTATTTTTTAAAATTTTGTACTATTATGTACATTATGTCTATCTACAACATGAATATAATAGCATACTATCTCTCTCTCTCTTAATTCATTATTTGATTTCTATGCTATGAGTGATTCAGGGAATCAAAAGTTTTTTAGAAATCATTTAACAACCACAAAAGTCTTAGGCACATCTAACTGATCACAAACATGCTCCAATGTGTGAAGACACTCAAAAACCATTTTGACCTTCTTCACTAACTTCTAATAATTTTTAAGTGTGTCAACAGAATGAAACAGATCCCCCAGACTTTAACTAGTATGAAAATGGTGAGAAAACTGTTTTTGAACAGAATCGAAACATTAATTTCCAACACCTCACAAGTAAAAAAACGTTGTTTATGCCAAAAGGTGTTCATTGATGTTTCAGATAGACTCTCCTTCATATAATTGATAAAAGAACAAAAATTTGATGTGAGTTACCCAAAAACTGAAACCAGAAATACAACCTACCTGAGACAGCTGCTGATGCAACGAAGACAACAATCCCTCCCTTTGGCCTTCTTCCTGACCCTTGAGACAAGTAAGCACCAAAGTCAAAAACGGTTGGTGACTCATCAAGCTCTGATACTCCCCGTAACCCCTCATCTTATTCTTCTGTTCCTTGCACCAGCCTCCGCTCTCAAGAACCTGTCCTGCAACTTTCAGCACGCGGCCCTGAATGGCCGAAGGGAGTTTCGAGATCAACGGAGCGACCAGCCATATTGAATTCTGTTGTTTTTTCTCGTTTTTCTTCTCGTCTTGAATCATAGAATCGTATGGAGCGTTGAGTTGGAAAACATCAATAGCAGCCTTGGCCACAGTGTCAAGCCATTGGGATAGTTCAGGGGAATTGGGACTGAACTGCTCGAACATGAGTTGGAGATCGAGAATGGACATGCGAAGAGTCCACTGTTCCAAATTCTGAAATGAAAATGTGTTGAAAACAAGTTTCAATAAGTTACAAATTACTTTCGAAATATGTTGCAGCCCAACTATCATTATTACAATTTCATTTTATTTTATCAACAGTCAAGAGGGGCGATATCCGACAAAGTTGGAATTAGAAATAACTTTAATCTCTACAAGAGGTACACTTCAAAGTTAAAGTATGAAAAATAGCACTTCTTATTAAGATTATCAAGGTGAACAGAGAAAAAAAAGAGATTGAAAATGTTTTAAGAAGAAATGGCCACTTGTGTTATATCAAAGAAAAGAGAATTTTACGTGCTATCAAATGGTCTAAGAAAATATACACCACTACTAAAGATTCCTAAGGTTCAATTACAGTAAAACTGAAATAGGTTTTCGTTGTCACCCAGTATACGAGGTTGACCAGAGAAGTACCGATCCAACAAAGAAAACACAAAAATTCTGGAAAAAATCAAGATTGTTGAACAAAAAAATGCTCGCACTATAACTAAAACTCATGAAAGTAGTCATAATATTGAAACTTACCTCTAAAATCCTACTGATCATAGATTTTTGATCGAGAGATTCAATACTACATCCGGCATCCGGATAACAAATCATGTGCAACAATCTCTGAGCCTGGGAATGTGACAGAAGAGGATCCAAAAGATTATCGACATGACAAAGTTCATCAGATGACAAACATCTTTCTAGGACCCATTGCTGCGAACATATTTCTCTGAGAACGTGACAAGCAAAGGCCGACAGTGATGCGGTACTCTCTGCATTTCCCGTACTAGACTGCCTAGAATATCAAATCAAATTAGTTTATCATAATATGTCTCACTCAAGAAATGATAGAACACATATGGACGAAGTTTCTGATATTGAAATGGAAAAAGAAAACGATAATCTAGTAAGGAAATGTTTCAGTTCTATTTTGTGTTTCGTAGGTATCAGTTCCCAAAATCTCTTCTGATTAGGAAAAATATGAAAAACAATCTGATGAAAAATTGAAAGAGTGCTCGCTACTTCAATTTTCCTGGCCTTCAGATTGTAAATAAAATTGTAGACTATGAGCTCTGATACTACACACCAATTCAATACCACACTTATCCATGAGTGTTTTCCAAAACTAGAACCCATTTAGGCCAATAAAAATATCTGTACATTTGTAATTTAGATAGTACCCTAGTATCCGACACACTTTTGGTACAACATGCGTCAGTGATTAAATTCTGGCCACAAAACAATCAGTGGATTAGGGTTAGTAAATCGACTTAAGAATAAATTAACACAGGAAGAGAAAGTAACTAACATTCACATTGATGGGATGATCAGAAGAGTTTTGCTATGTACATTTTTTGTGGACGCTGATAACAAGAAAGAGAGTTTCACTTGACCGATAAAACTGATGATAGCGTTACAACGATCATTCAGCATTGAATGGGCATGTAATAAACTAATCATCAATTTACACATTAGAAAATAGGTTCAGAAGAGAGGATGAATTGATTTCTATTTTCAGAATTTCATCAAACAAATTGCTGTCATGAACAGTTACAGAGTAGATCTTATCAACTACATGATTTCCAAAAAAACTATGAGAACAAGTCATTCACCAGTTATCTCTCACTTCAATAAAGGATAATAATAATAATAATAATAAATCGGCTTTATTGATAATACAAAAAAAAACAATACAAAGATATATTTGAAAATGAAAATAGGTTACAGGAGATTCTGGTACTCCTTGGCGAAGTCTAGCTCAAAGCTATTCTTCAATTGCTCGGGCAATGAATTATAGAGTTTTATAGCACCAAAAAGAAATGATCTCTGAAACTGTGCAGTGCGATGTAAGTGCGCTAGTAAGCATCTTAGAACATTGACATACTTTGGTGAACCCACCAATAACATCGCTCGTTTAAAAAAAAGACTTGGATGTGGCTCACCAGACAAATAATAATTCAAGTAAATTTATTGAAAGCAATACAAAACTTCAGTGTAGGATAGATCAGATTATACTGGACAAACATAAAGAATCTTCTCCCAAAGAATAAAATAACATAGGACTAGTTTCTTGAATGTGAAGACCAATTTCAAATTTGCAAACCAACTTTTGGTAGAGGAGTTTGAGTTAAACCAAGATTATGAAAGAGAAAGGTTTGAAACTCATTTATTTGGAATGCTTGAAAATCAATAGATTTTAGAATTTTGAAAAATGAATTCTTCTCCTCTTTTGAAACTATTTTATAATGTGGAAATTGGTAATCAGTCTATCATATATTGATTTAATGAGTTGGTCAAATTCTCAATTATAATGTTCAATGGTATTGACGGCAAAACAGTGTCACTTCTCAAAAAAAAACCATTTCATCATGGTGGGGATACTAAAATGCATACCCACGCATTCAGCTAGTCAAAATTATGACATTGAAATGAGAATTATTTTGATTTCCGCCATCCTGTGGAATTTCTCAATTCCTAACTTGAGAAAATGTCTCAGTGGACAATGAATCATGTCAAACTAGGAAGGCGTTGTCCAAATAATTACTTATATTGAAAATTTACCAAAAGCCTTTTCACGGTCTTGAAACAGCTGAAAAAGTATTCACAGTTGAAAGAAGATTATTTTGTGAAATAAAAAACACAAATGTATTTTCTTTTTCTGAAGACTTACTTGAATGATCCTTGTACCTATCACCATCAGAATGAAAGTAATCAATATCATAATTTCATTAATGATTCAACAGTTATAAGGTTTTTCAAAAGGTACATAAAAGTTTATAATTTTGCAAAAATATTTTGATAATGAATAGTTACTGCAATTAAGGAAATTCTAGGCTTGGATATGCCAAGTATAACGTTTTGTAGTACATAATTAACTCACTAGCGAAAGATGGTTTGTTTGTCTAGCCTTGCAACAATTCGAAGTTCGATAATTTCAATAAAAAATATTTCTTAAAAAGACTTTTAGTATGGTGTAACACATTCAATAACTTGGAAATTTGTGAATGAAATGGTGGTATGAAAGAGCATAATATCCTTGTATACCAATAATTTTACAAATCGTGAATTTGAAGCATTGCGACCCAGGGATAACAAAACAAATAAGATGGTGCAAGCATAGGGTGACACACTCAAAGCAAAGCTTATGATTACTTATTTTTATCTTTTGACAAACCTATGTGTCGTCCGTGATCCGCACACATCCACGTTCATCCTGACAAAACAGAAAAGTAACCAAAATCAACTCAAGCAATTGTCCGTTCTGGCCACTACATCAATGCAGTTCTTAACAATAAAAAAAATTCTTCCAAATAAACGACAAATAAGGCAAAAAGATACAGGGCTGACAAAAAATCTTGAGTTTGACAAGCAATTCTGAATTGAAAAGTCGATATACATTAAAAAATCGATACCTTACATTTTTCGCTGAAACTATTGATGTTTGTCAAAAACATAACCTCAGTTTGAATGAAAGGGTCATATTTTTCGGGAGATTAGTTTTTTGAGAATGAAAGGTTTGGCTTTCTTCCTCTACTTTTCAATAAAAAAAATTTGGGAAACTTCCAATGGAAGAAAGAAAGCAATATAAACAATAAAAGAAAATCATATAACTTACCATATACCATGTATTTGGAGGATATCACTTGCAATAGTAACAATGGTATTGTTGATCTTTTCGCAAATTATTTTTCTACTACCTAGTCTGACGAAAAGGTTCTTCAAATTCCGCAATACAAATGCAAAGAGAGTTTACATGTTTCCAACTACTATATTGTAACAGCAGAAATAATCAATCAACTCATGATAGCCCCAGGAAAACTCTCAGCTGGTCCCGATAGAATCCCTTTTAAATTTTTAAAAAACTGCATATTCACTCTAGCAAAACCCTTACAAACATTATTCAATCTTTCTTTATCTATGGGAATCTTCCCTGAATTCTGGAAGCAAAGTTTTTTAACTCCAATCGACAAATCTGGTGATGAAGAAAATATTAAAAACTACCGTCCAGTGAGCAAGCAATCGAAAATTCCCAAGTTGCTGGATTGTTTGATAACTAAAAAACTGACATTCGATACAAAAAACATAATAAATGAACACCAACATGGCTTTATATCTGGTAGATCCACCACTACGAATTTATTGCTTTATCAACATTTTCTTTTGAATAACCTAGAGGAAAAACACCAAATTGACTCTATTTATACTGATTTCTCTAAAGCCTTTGACAGGGTAAATCATGATCTTCTCATGGCTAAGCTCCTAGCATTAGGCATCAATGGTAACATGTCAAAATGGATAAAGAGTTATTTGGATAATAGAATTCAGTATGTTAAATATGCTGGTTCTATATCATCAGAAATTCCTGTAACGTCTGGTGTCCCTCAAGGATCGCATATAGGTACAATACTCTTCATTCTTTTTGTAAACGATGTGTCGGATGTCGTACACCACAGCTATTATTCAATGTTTGCAGATGATCTCAAACTTTACAGGGTTGTAGATAACTTTTATGATGTAGAACTGTTACAGATAGATTTAAATAACTTATCTCGTTGGTGTGATGAAAATATGCTTCATTTAAATATAAATAAATGTTATCAAATAACATTTTCAAGAGTTGTGAAACATATTGTATATCCATATAAAATCAAAAACATTAATCTAACGTCGACTAACAGCGTTCGGGACTTGGGAGTGTTGTTTGATAGCAAAGTAACCTTTAAAGGTCATATTGATCACATTACATCTAAATCACTCAAATTATTGGGATTTGTTCAACGATCTACAGATAAATTTTCTATAAATACCTTTGAAATATTGTACTGTTCCTTGGTACGCTTGGTCTTGGAAAATAATTGTGTGATACGGAGTCCTCTATATCAGACAGATATATCTATGATTGAGAAAGTACAAAACAAATTTCTGGGATCATGTGCATTTAAGCTCGGTTATCTGAGTGAATAATTATTCACAAATATTTGTAAATAATGCACAGAAGTAACTTTCAAATACAAACTGAAACAAAAAGACCTCTCAAAAGACTACTTTTATATAAACATTGAATTACACAAAGGAAAAAGGAATTTCGAAACAACTATTTTTATATGAAAAAACTCATTAATACAGTATATTGTATGATTTTCACTATACAAGGTTTTACAAAAACCGCGACATGTGTTTTGCTATACAATAGCTTTCTCAAGTGTAAAATTATCATTTTATATGTACAATACAATAGCCACGCTATACAATAGCGTGGCTATTGTAAAACCTTCTTCAATGTTCATATGAAAGTAGTTGTTCCAGTTCTTATCTGAAAGTAACTTTTATACATGATCTACACACCTTTATGAAGAGTTTATTTTTAAATTTATTGCTTTCGGCCTTCCTTTGGACGTTTCCTAAATAAATAAAAATGAAAAAGTAGAAAATCAAACCTCTCTTTCCCAACATCCTCAGTATTTCATTCAATTAATATTAATAACAACTGAATTATTCTAATATTAGAATAATTTATTTTCTTCCAAAAGTTAGTACAAAAGAAAATCTACTAACTCTCATTTGAAACATCTTCAATAAAACTCCAACTCAATTTCAAACTGGTGCTTGAGAAAGATAATTTATTGACAAAAAAAAAATTTGCTGCCAATGTTCAGTTGTGAGACCTAAGAACTGATTATACAGTGCATTCTAGTTGAAAAGAATAAATCATTTGATATTGAGGCTGTAGAAAAACAGTGAAACACGTCAGGAGGACTGATTTGAAAAATCTTTCAAAATCAACTCAACATTTCATTCCTTTCATTTTGTCATTGAAATATACCCAACCTCAAAAGAGGCGTATTTCAAATCATTTTATTCCTTCGCCATTCGTCAAGAGCACACGTATTCTCCAAAGAGACATACTTGAAAGTAGTTTAAGGGTTGTGATAATGAATAATGACTTATCATATATACTAATCGGCTTTGTTGAAAAGCTGGGTTTATTTGGTCGAGAGTGAGCCACAATAAACACTTGCGGGTTGCAGTGAAGGTTCGAATGGACCCACTCACTTTTGACCTAACCTAACTTATCGACAAAATGTATTAATACGAAAAGACTAATTGGACATTTTAATACGTTATATCAGGCAGTAACTTCTTGGTGTAAGATTAGAAACCCAGAAAACATCAAGAAAATCAAGGTTATGTTTTCAATAAATATCAAACAGATGATATATTGAATATAATGATTTTGTAATAGAATCAGGTTCTGATTCATTCTCTGATATACAATTATCTCATTTTTCAGCAAACAAGAACAGTGTTTAACAAAATGCTCAGCTTTATATTTACTGATACTTTAGCACCCTGATATCAACCATGAAAAATCTAAGTGAATGATTTCAATGCAAAAAATCAAAATATCACTTACGGCAGGTCCAAGCTAGGTCCGTCTGACCCGCTATGCAGATCACTCGTCCCTAAAATATTACTTAAACTCAACTCAGTGCCCTCTTTAGCGGTGGCGTCACCAACAATCAAAACTGCCTTGAGTACTGCCAAAACAGGACCAACATGTATATTTCTGTGAGCGGCAGCCAAGAGATGACGGTCGCAACTCAACCTGACACCCAAGGGCGGCCGTGGAGCTGTTAGCGGGGGGGATCCAACAGAATAAAGGCCCGGTTGGGGACCCTCGGCAGTTCTGAAAAGACGCAGTAGCAGGTGACAGGTGAGACGCATGCCACCTTCGGCACGACCTTCACCATTATCAAGAGATTTCACCTGAAAAATATTGTATTTCATATTGGATTAGAAGTAACTCAAGTAATGACAAGCTATTTTGAAATTAATTTGAAGACTCGGAAATCTTTGTGGGAAAGACTATGAAATATGTTCAATTTCAATGACACAGAAAACAATTTAATGAATTTTATGTGGGTACATGTGGAGCAAATGTAACGTAATGCATGAACATTTCTGAACTGTCGAGTAGGTGATCTACTCGACTGATTTCAGCATGGTCCTGCTGCTGAATGAACAAGAAACAACTACGAGACTAACCTCTGTAAGGTATATTGCATAAATGTCTTTCGGATATAACTGAACATCCAGCGTGGTATTAAAACGGAAAGTAGTTGTTTCCCGGCAGAAATTTAGCAGAACCTATGGTGTAGGTATTTTGGGAGAGATGAATGTTTCAAAATTTTATTTCGAAATATTTATTTTCTTATATGTTATGTATTTCTTCTCAATACAGTATTCAAACTAATTTTGATGTCTGTGAGGGAAAGATTTATTTAGTTGGTAGATAAAATAAAAATAAATCACCTAACAAAGAACATTTCAACAGTAATTTCAGAGAAAAATCATGAAGACTGAATATTTTCTCACAATCTAGCCTTGATAGAAAAACAAGCAACAGTAAGAATAATAAAAAGGTTAGTTGGAATAGATTTATGGTAAATAAATATTCAGAGATTTATCAGGATTGTTTCCAAGAGCAATAACGTATCAAAACTCAAAGTTTGTGGCTGAAAACCACCATGAATCATTAAAATGTCGGTTACCGCCGAAATGAGTCCAAAGAAATAGGTGTAAATAAAACCAGTATCATTCAATTACTTGAAAGTTTTACCTTGAGCAAGCTAGGTAGAGCAACTCTTCTCACAAAGTCTTCTAATGAAAAGCAGTGTCTTGCAATCAAAATACAGGTGAATACTGCCAATGCGTTGTGAATACCAACATCCTAAAATTTATTCAACATTTAAAACATACTCCACTAGTGAAACTCGAAATCTTCACCTGAATATCCAGCTGGTTCAAAACATCTGCATAGTACCCAGGATGAGACAGAGGGCAGCAAAGGGTTAGCAGTACTCCCAACCACTCGGAAGCCAATGAGTTACAACAAGCAGTCATTTCAGCACATAGAATTGCCAAATCGTTCAGCCTCTCATTGTCTGTCTCCCGACAAACATGAATCACGGCATTGCTGACAAAAGAATACCTGAAAACGATCGTTTCAATCAAGGACTAACAATTTAACAGTTTTCTCTCTTACCTATTGTTCCCGTTTTCGTTGAGCTGCTTTGCTAAAACACTGTCTATCCTGCCAGCTCTTCGCGGACTTATGAATAGCTCCTGCATATACTGAGCGTTGTACACATAAATATTACTGGGTGTAGGTTGGGGTGACGTATATAGAGCTTGCTTAATTTTGGGATAAGCATTTCCGAATGGTTCCACGGTGTGCGGTTTAGATTTAAGAAGACTGCACGATGAATACAAGTCATATAAGTGAGCAAGGATACATCGTTCCGCTGAGCTGCAATCCCCAGGATTCGATACGTGCTTAACGACTTTGCAAAGACCTTCAAAAACAGCGGATGTCTGTTCTGGCGACACTAAAACATTATTTTACAATTTTCACTGAAACCTTCAGAAAAGCAAATATCTGCACTCACATAATAGACAGCAGTGATACCTTCTCAACACTCCAACCACGTACAAACTTAAAGAAGTTGTATAATTCCTACTGAGCACTGAATTTTTATTGTACAACTGAGTCTCGACCTCCGGTAGTTCTTTCAAAATTTGTATACATACATCTATCAAACCGTAAATATTCAACGCTAGTTCCATCAAGTCGAACAAGAATGCTACATGCTCTTGAACGGGTAAATAGTTGGAATTTCCTGTGGCAAACGAATTGAGCATCTCTATCACTGTGACGCTGCACTGATAAGTGACAAGATGTTGATCAAAGTAGCTAAGACTCTGGCATTTTTGAGTAGTGGCCTCGAAGTTGAACTCATTTCTGGAATGCTTTTTGACTTTGCCCCCTTCTGCGACATCTACGCTGAATTTTTTCGAGAAGAGTTTGCAAATTTCTTTCGACATCTTCTTCACCGTGTGCCTAAAAGTGCATAAGTGATTTTTTGGCTTTGAAGCTGTAAATATAGTTCTATGAATAGGATATTCATAAGACACCAAAACGAGAATAAAATATGTGAGATCAAGAGAATATTTTATTGTCAAAACCAAAGTTCTTTTTGCCAATGCAAGACCAGTGCAATGGTATAAATTCCTTTAGACTATAATTTTTCAAGAGCCTATTTCACATGTTTCTCATTCTTTTACACAAGGTAACAATTCTAAATTACAATAAAATGGGATTTGAAATGGAAGTAGTAAATTTTTATTTGATATTTATTTGATAGTTAGTTTAATTACAAGCTCCCGAAAACCTTCCGCATATTTCATATAAATCAGCTCAGAGATTCTACAATTAGTATATTGAATCTGATTGACGAATCCAAAAGTGGGATTCGTCATTCCCAGACCAGTCTTATCAACAGCACCCAGAGATACATAGAATTCAGGATACAAACTTTCATGAATAATATTCGTTATTATTTTGATGAAGTCATTGTTATTAGATGAAAGCTGGTATAAAGTATGAGACATTTTCAGGGTCATGGTTTACTGCATTACTATTTTAGGAGGATATTGTAAAGTGACACACACAGATAGGTGTCAGTCCATTAACCTACTGTGTAGGGTGTTGAGACTGGCCTGAACGAATTGTTCTTTTAGATGATTTGATTTATAGCCAGTCTTCAAGTATGCCCACTGACTATACGTGAAAGATTTCTTTCCTTTTACGAGGAATTGGGCAAATTTGGATATGCAGTTGGTTACCTCGTTCACAGGCAGATGGAGCGNGGTCCCTTTTTTGATTATACTATAAAGTTTTTTCATAAATATTCACCTAATTTGCCACATAATAAATTTGGTCAGATGAAATTATGTAACCAACAAAAAACAATTAGTCCTACCTGGCTTCATCACGATTTTTTCCCACACCATAGAGCAGAACGTGTCGTTGATTACAGTCATGTTGACAAAAGGGATCATCTTGACTCAGAGGGAAATGGGTGGTATATAATAGATGACGTGAGGGTTTCACTTTGTGATCATTATGATCACTTTCCATAGGAACGTGACCAATTGAAGAAGGCACATGCGTATGATGACCATGATCGTGCTCTTTTGGGCTATCAGGAACATCCATGGAGTTCTGCTGATCTTCCTTGATATTTTGTAAGATTTTATCAAGATCATGGTCGATGTTTGCGTCATCATAATCCATTGGCTAAAAATATTTTCGGTTCAAGACGTCCCTGTTTCAATTAAATGTTACATACCTCCATTTTGGTATGATGATGATGACTGGACATAGTGTCAGTTGTCTCTTCGTGTCCCAATAAATCTCCTCTTGATATCAAAGTGCACATATAAGCATCATGGGAGAAAACATCGCGACGAATCAATTCCGCAAAGAGATGGACCAAATTGGAGAATGCTGTCTTCTTCTATAGAAAAAATTAAACCGTTTTTACTTTATCAACTTGTGTGACATTACATCTTTAGTAAAGTTATTAGTGTGAAAATTATTTTATATCATGGACACATTTCTATGTTTTTACAATTTTTATTTGTAACTAAAGTTACTGCAGTTTCGTCCTATAAAGACATTTTCAAGCTAATACATTAAACTAGTTTTCTCCTATAAGGACATTTCCAAACTCATACATTAGTTTCGTCCTATAAGTTTGAAAATGTCCTTATAAGACGAAACTGCAGTAACTTTAATTACAAATAAAGGTGATCATTTCCCATTTTTCATGATGATCTACTACCACGTTGTAACGGCTACAACCATCAATCAATTATAGAGTGATTTTTACTATTTTGGACAATAATTATATACATTATATATTTTTATACACATACACTTATTTTGAATTTCAGCATCAACACTGACCTAATATTCAAGACAATGGTCTTCAAATATATTTGTAAGTGTCTGATGCACTATTGAAGTATCCTGCACAAAAAATAAAATCCCACTCAAATTAAAAGAACTGAATTGTTGATGAATCGAATATTTCACATGAAATTACCATAGAACAATCATCTGGTGCAGGAACAGGGGCATCCATATCCAAAAACTTCATCAGCAAGGACTGAAACATGGGAGGACCCCCAGGAATGCTACTGTTGGAATCTTTATCGTCTCCATGTGCAGCTTCTTGATCACCAGGAGTGTTTGTGTCGGACTGTCTTCTATCCAACAAGGCTGCAACGGCAAGAGCTCTATGTTCTCCAGTTCTTTCGGGAGACACTGCCCACTCGCAAAGTAGTTTCACGACAGCATTTTCTTGATCAGATGAACTGGTGAAAACCTACAATATAATAATTTCATAAACTACACCTTACGATTTGATCTCCACAAACTTTTTTTGAGAAATATATCACGACATGTTTCACTAACATAGTAGCTTCTTCCACAGTGATTTGAATACCTGTATTAGGTTTGTTAAAACCAGTAGGTATGCTGTTTCATTATCTGCATATTCCGATTCNACGTCGAATACAATTAGAAAAAAATAAACTTATGCCTAAACACAATACCTTCTTCATATAAGTATTTCAGAAGTCTAATACAATATGTCCAATGTCGGACTGCAAGTTTTTGTTCAGTCTCCATAGTGTGAACAGCATTCAATGTTGCATTAGCTGGAGGTGGTTTTTCTACTTGCGAGTAAAACTCCTGCAGTTTTGGAATTTGGTCTTTGAGAAATTTCAGTGTTGTACTAGTCCATTCTGAAAAAAAAGTCAATCATTAATCTAATACACAAAATGCAAGTTGCGAGAAGAACCTACAAACATACTGTAGGACACCACACCAAGGCCGTTGGGCATTCCAGTACTATCGTTTGAATGATGGTACTCAATTGTAGAACTAAGATGAAATAAGAAAAGGTAGTTTTAACAAGGTTTAGGACTTTTTTGGGAAAATACTGAATAGAAAAAATCTGAAAGTTACGTTTGAAGGGTAATTGAAAGTATGGTACTATAGCAGACTCATTTCTGGTAGCATATTCATTTTGAATTGGAAATTTTACAAACAAAGGTCTATCATCCCTGCAATTTAGAAGGTGTTTCACTACAAGGTAGTTACATCAGTTGAATATAGGATGAAGAAAATACTTTTGTCTAATTTCTATTATGTTTAGGGTCTAACAAACTTGACACGATTATCGTCAAACTTAAACCAGTCCGTTTCTTCTTTGACCAAGGTGTAATAATGACCACATTCAACGCCAGAACCACAGTGAACAATGACTGCATGAATATTATAACAGTGGTCTGCTAGGTTGAAATATTCATCTATTTAGAACCTTCCAAAGAGTTTCTTGCTTCCGTTAGAGGTTGAGTCTTGTTTGTATTGAAACACACCAGTCTAATTCATCGTGTGGTGTGGAAATTGTGTAATTATTGTCATGGATAATTTTATAATGCATTCTAACTTCCACAAGAGAAAATATATATCGTGATAAACGTCACTTGAAAACAGGCAAAAATAAAAAATGGAATAAGTGTTTTTCTGGAATATGAACTTTTCAATGAATCTGAAACGAACAAAATTCTGAAAAAAAAACACAAAGTCAACCTTTCTGAAAAGTTCTCTGAAAACTGTAACTGTCATGTCCTTACTGAATTGGATTTCAAAAAACTGTTACCAACTTACCAATATCACGATGATGAGGACAGTTCTGATATTCAATCAAAGTACTTTGAATAGGATTAGAAACAACAGTCTCTTTTTTCTCTTTATCGACATCTTTTTGTTCTGTTTTACTCTCGCTTGGAGGAGAAGTCATCAAATTTGTCTCAGCAACATTGTTCAACATACTACTTAATTTTTTTGTACAAAAATGGGACAACCTTCTACATAGAAGTTCTGACTGAACAAATTCGTCTAAATACTGTAACGTAAGAGGTAAAAATAATCTCAACATTCCATCATCTGCAGGCTGCGATTTCTGTTTTTCCAACAGATCAATAATCCAGTTCAACACTTCTTGCCTATCCATCAAACCTTGAAGAAAATACAATTAGAAAAAAATAAACTTATGCCTAAACACAATACCTTCTTCATATAAGTATTTCAGAAGTCTAATACAATATGTCCAATGTCGGACTGCAAGTTTTTGTTCAGTCTCCATAGTGTGAACAGCATTCAATGTTGCATTAGCTGGAGGTGGTTTTTCTACTTGCGAGTAAAACTCCTGCAGTTTTGGAATTTGGTCTTTGAGAAATTTCAGTGTTGTACTAGTCCATTCTGAAAAAAAAGTCAATCGTTAATTTAATACACAAAATGCAAGTTGCGAGAAGAACCTACAAACATAAGATCATCTGGCATTTTCAGAATTTTATGAATATTCTGAAGTACATGTTAACTCACTTCATCTCATATACATAAGAGCATTTTCTTTAGACCTATAAACTCTATATAGTACCTCTATCTGATATTACTGCTCTCAATGTGTAAAGACTAAGTAATGAACTTGGAATCCTTTAGCCAAAATGATAAACAAATGTTTTGAGACAGTTTTTTTTTCATTTCACCACAGAATATTTATAAAAGTTACTTTTACCTTGTCATATATGAATTTGAATGTAATTATCGTAGCTTCAGTTTTGAATACATTCAACTTCAGTTTACTTTTAAGATATTTTTCTTAACCTTCATCTTAATTGTTTTCTGATTATAATTGTTCAATTATCATTACATGCATACATCAAAATAATGTTTGAGAAATACAAAGAGAATATTTTTATACCAGTAGTTGGATCAGGCATTTGACGTTTCTTGATTTTGGTTTCTGAAACAGCAACTGTGTATGCGGAGCTCAGCTTTATGAACCAAGCTGCCCTGAGCATGGGGACTTGATATTCAGTGAGCATCATATAAATCTCTTCTTTCTTATTGAAATTTGGAGCTCTTTTGGCCAGATTCATCAAGGGCTTGTTACCAGAAAGATCTTTGAACCAAGCTTCTATGTAATTCTTTGTTCTGTTGGTTACAGGCCAGAAGTTATCTTTGGGATTGATTTGTTGTCTCTTACGTCCCGAATCAGGAAGCATAGAAAGTTCCTCCTTACGAGCAATAATTCCACTGAAGTAGGCCCCAACCTAAACAATATTATATTAGAATGAAAGTGAAGAAACCATGGCAATCTGATGAAAATTCAATATTACCTTGTTAGCATTAACATTACAGTTTCTGGCAGTTCCAAACTCATCGCTTAAATGGGTCATGGTGAGAAATCCTTGTTTAACGTTAATACTAGTGAGTTCATCTTCTTTTTGTTTTGGTTCTTGGGGGTATACATCTGGAGGCCCAATCCGAGGCTTTTTCAAAGGCCTTTTTTCATATAATAAACTGCTGTTGAACATCTTTCTGTGCTTGAAATTTATTGAAGAGGAACAGTAGAACTATAAACAGAAATTCAAAACCATTTCACTTCTCATGATTTGAAAATCAAACATTGCACTTCTCATTCAATAGAGTCCCAATTATAACCATATCGGAATCAATAAACAATATCAGCCTTTAAATAGGTTTCACAGAATAATAAATTATTCTGTATAGGATATTATGTTTATGACTGTTTATGTGTCAAAAACAACCCTGAAAGACAAAGACCGAGAATAATTAACAATGCCGGACAAGGGCATAGAATAATAACTGTGAATATTAAAGGATAAGCTATGGGCAATAAGATAAGTTGAAAGGTAAGGTCTAGGGCTAAAGGCTATAGGCATAGACATATGATAATATGGACTAGGCATATATTTCACCTGCAGATCACACATCGTCTTGGCCACTGCGTCACAGCAGCATGTGATCAATCAAATCCCCGAATTTTTACAATGGAAACACAGAATATTACTATTCTGTAATGGATTATTCAATATTTAAAACATCGTGACGTTAAGTGTATGAGTGACGTGATGCTAGGAAGAGAATCTTTTTATCTTTTTTAGTTGTCGGAGTCACAGGCTATAGGGATTGGAGCATAGAATAGTAAGCGACATTCTGTTATTGGAAGTTGTCAACAATGTTGACGTCTACATCTATTGATGAGGACACTAGTGTTTTAAAAAATTGGTGACATCAAACGAAAACAGCTAATCCAAATATGGAAAATTGCTAATGTTCGTTTGTTCTGAGGTTTGCTGTGTTTTGGGTCGTTTGAATGTGAATTTCTCAGAGTAGTGTTTTTGTGACAATAAAAATTGTTTCCATTCTACCTCCATTTTTCAAATGAGGCACTCATAATTATATCCAAAACATCCACATTATTGTGCGGTAGCTTATAGAGAAAGATAACATGCAATTAACTAGGCATATTACTCATATACTTCAACCAATAAAAACGCGTTAACGTTTCGAATGCACAATAGATGAATCCATCGGTAGACTCAACGGTGAATTTAAAAACTCGTCTTCATTGGCATTATTTGGTATTCTGTGATCATGCCACAGATTACTTACAGACATGTAGTCTGTGATCATGTCTTCTGTCACTTTTTCATTTTATATTTTTTAAGATTTTTTCCACTTCCACACGTCACACGTGCAATATTTATTTCCATTTGTATCGAAGGATTTGCATATTTTTTACTGCTAAAAAAATATTTAAATTGTTTGTAACTAATTATGGCTGACGCAGGTGGTGAAACTCTATCAAAAAAGTAAGTTTTTGCCTGCAAGGATGTAAGGAACCAATATATAATTCAGTCAAATGAGATAACCTATAAAATGTTGCAATCTGTGACTTCAGTGAGGAAACAGTTTTTCTCAACAACAATAAAACAATTTGGAAAACATAGAAGGTATGTTCTATCAATGAAGACGTGAACTAATTACATTGTATCTTCCTTTCAGTGAGCTCAAAAGAAGGCTGAAAGCTGAACAGAAAGCTAAAGAAAAAGCAGAAAAAGCAGCAACTAACCCAGTTGAATCTCTTAAACCAAAAGAAACTAAAATATCTCAAGCTGAGGTTAGTCCCAATGAATATTTCAAACTTAGAACTAGTGCAATTGCAAACCTCAAAGCTCTGGGTGGTGAAAACTCCCCCTACCCTCACAAATTTCATGTTTCAATTTCATTAGAAGAATTCATTGCAAAATACTCGGCCTTGAATGATGGGGAGTCTCTTGAAAATGAACATCTATCTGTTGCGGGTCGAATACATGCTATTAGAGAATCTAGTTCTAAACTGGTATTCTATGATTTGAGAGGAGAGGGTACTAAAATACAAGTAATGGCAACGGCTCGCCAATATGCAGATGAGAGTAAATTTGTAGAAGACACAGATAAAATTAGAAGGGGAGACATAATAGGTATTGAAGGAATTCCAGCTAAGACAAAGAAAGGAGAACTCTCTATAATACCAAAAAAAATTAAGCTACTATCCCCCTGTCTTCACATGTTACCTCATCTACATTATGGACTTAAAGATAAAGAAACAAGGTTCAGACAAAGGTACTTAGATTTAATTTTGAATAATCGCGTGCGTAAGATTTTTGAAGTAAGGGCAAAAATTATTGCCTACGTCAGAAGGTTCCTAGATGAGATGGGCTTCCTTGAAATTGAAACTCCTATGATGAACATGATTGCTGGTGGAGCCACTGCTAAACCTTTCATCACTCATCATAATGAACTCAATATGGATCTGTATATGCGCATAGCTCCTGAGTTATACCATAAAATATTGGTTGTTGGAGGTCTAGATCGAGTTTATGAAATTGGAAGACAGTTCCGAAACGAAGGTATAGATTTAACTCACAATCCTGAGTTTACTACTTGTGAGTTTTATATGGCTTATGCTGACTATAATGACCTTATAAGTATTACTGAAACGATGGTGTCTGGCATGGTTCACAGTATACATGGCACTTACAAAATAAAGTACCATCCCGAGGGTCTCGAAGGGGAAGAAGTTGAAATCGACTTTACCCCACCCTTCAAACGTATTCGCATGATACCAGCTCTTGAAGAAGCTCTAAAAGTAAAGTTTCCCCCACCGACTGAGTTTTCTTCAGAAGAAACTAACAAGTTCCTAAGCGATTTATGTATAAAGAATAACGTGGAGTGCCCTGCACCCCGAACGACTGCAAGATTGCTGGACAAGCTTGTGGGAGATTTTATTGAAGAGCAGTGCATCAATCCGTCTTTCATCATGGAACATCCTCAAATCATGAGCCCTTTGGCCAAATGGCATAGGTCAATCCCTGGATTAACAGAACGTTTTGAATTATTTGTTATGAAAAAAGAAGTCTGTAATGCTTATACGGAGTTGAATGACCCAGTGGTTCAGAGGCAAAGGTTTGAGCAACAGGCAGCAGATAAGGCAGCGGGAGATGATGAAGCACAGTTGGTCGATGAAGATTTCTGCAAGGCTTTGGAGTACGGGCTGCCCCCTACCGCCGGTTGGGGTATGGGAATTGATAGATTGACGATGTTTTTAACAGATAACAATAATATAAAGGTGAGTTATGGTATTTGATGTATACTTTTGAATTTTTAACATTACACAAAAGGAAAAAATAATGAAATCATAAAAATATTGAGAATACTAAAAATAACAAAAAGAATGAAAAATACAAAAGAAAACTTTTGTTTACATTATATTTCCTCTTTAATTTGTTTCCATATCTTCCAGCAAGAAATGTTTCATTGAAAATATAACTTGTCTATGGTTTTTGTAACGATTTATAAAGAAAGTGAAAATGTCTAAAGTTTATTCTTTTTCTATTATTTTTTTAAAGAGTTTTTGATAGGAAACCTAATAGCAGAAAAGAGTTTCCCATTATTATTTCTCATGAATAAATAAATAACATCATGATTGTTTCATAAATTGAAAATAGATTAGTATTGTCCACCTGCCTAATTCATCTGAAAAAATTACTGAAAGAGAGTTATATGTTTAATGTCATAGGAAATACATCTTGTCAACAAACATTTTTGTACTGAAATGTAGTGCATCACTATATAACAATAATAAATAAATAAACACATGAGCAAATATACATGCAATGTGTTTGTTGAAATGTAACCTTGTACATGAGTAAAAACTGCTCACGAACAGCAACCCTTTTCTTTATATGCGTTTCTACACCCAAGCTGGTGTCTTCAGCTACTAAAGACGGTAACTTGGTTGGTAAAATTCGCACCGGGAACTGTGTTGCAGTTCTAGTGTTTGTTTTGGATTTATCTACGCCAGAGGTGTCTCCTACATTGTTTTCGAAATAATCTTCTAGGGAGCATCATGGCTATTCACAGTCCGTCAGTCTTGTAAAGTTGCAGAAGACTTCATAGTATTTTCAAACTTGTTCACAATTTATAATTTCTTCAGCAACTGAAATATTTTTAAAATGGCCACTCTCAAAATATTACAACAGAGAAGATACTTTACTTTTCTTATATAATACTTATAACTTTTCCCTACAACTTTGAGAGAAAATTTCTATTTCATCCATTCAATTAAAGTTTTACTTACCTCAACTTTTTTAATAAGAGTGGAACTCTCATACCATGCATATCTATTGTGTAACTTGGTAGATGTATTATCATATTAGACAACTGAGAACATATGCAATATAATGGGTGATCTTCAAACTGAATCGGTCATAACTGATGAGATATTAGCTGTATCTGTTCACTAAAATCTGCTAGTTATCTTTCTCAAAATAACTTGCATATACAAGGTTTGAATAACATGTAGTAGCATGGCAAGAACATTATCTCTGAATAGATACTTGAAACTATAATACACAATAATGTGAAAACTACAAAATTCTTTCTTAGATTTATAAGTAGTCGGCAAATAATTCCTGTCCTATAACAATAACAGAAAAACTGTAATATTTTGTTTGTCTGCTTAATAAGAATAAAAATCGTTTTATGCCCCGAAAGAATTTTGAGGTATCAATTTCTAAACTATCCATTCCACGCAAAAATACTTATATTATCCAAGTCTTTCATACTCGTCAAGATTTTCGGATATTTCCAGTCTTTTGAAAAATAAATGAAAAGAACTAATATTTCATCATATCCCCCATACTATCTTAGCTAGTGAAAACAATTTCAAATATTTTTTGGTAAAATTATCACCATCAACGATGGTTGTAATTTCGGATACATGTCTCTTTTCGTTCTTGAAAAAATGTCAGAATCACGACAGAACTTTTCGATTCAAAACAACTTCTCCACAGTAACCATGGGTCAGTCTCATCAAATAAAAAAATGTGTTTAATAATAAAAATTCTTTTATTGATCTAAACTTTCACGAGTCAGTAATTCCAGAAATGTCTGATGTGAAATCAAACAGTACCACAAAGAAATGTTCACACATTTTCATTCAATTTTCTAATTAAAGCTCTTGGCAGTGAAGTTCATACATCTTCATCTTCTATAATTGGTGTTGTTGAGTTGTAGTGCTCCCCTAGCCTATAGAGATGTCTGTGGTAGGTCAAAATTAATTCAGGCCCTCTGAATTGCTCACCCTGTAATGTCGGTGGTCCTGTTGCCTGAATAACTTTGATAGGACTAGTAAGGATATTTGAGAGAGCTCTTAGTTCCAGTTGTCCACCCCAGAGTTTTGTTGTGGCTACATCTTTACAGTAGTTTTCAAACTGTTCTTCACTAACAATCTCTGATTCGTCTAATTCATTGCACATAAAGGGAAGAAATTCATCTTTGTTTTTTCGCATGAATTCGGCAGTTACTTTCCGTAATTCATTTACAGAGTGTGTAGACCTACCTGTTATTTGCAGCTGATGATTTACTGCTAGATATAAGCAATTACCATCGGCTGGAATATTATGAAGTTTTAACTTCATCGACTTGAGAACTTGTTTGATAGCATTGGTTTCTAAAAGCCTGGGTCCTTCTTTGTTCTTCTCTGCTTGTTCTGCAATACGTTTCTCCCGTTCTTTAGCTTCAAATTCCTTTTTATTTCTACGTTTTTGAGCTCTTGATACTCGAATATTACTTTCAGGTTCCGTCTCATGACTATCAAATTGCTCATTAGTATTTTCATTTACTGCAGAACTCTCAAACTCGGAGGGCTCCTGGCTAACTTCAGATTGTTTTTCCAATTGGCTGAGTTCTTCTTTATGTTTTGTATCGAGTTCAATTTCTAATTTGGATATCTCATCACTAATCTCTTTCTTTTTCTTCTTGTCACCCTTTGGGACACTCTTTTTCAATGACTGTATTTTAGAAAACAAATCTTTTTTTTCTTGTTTATGTCTTTTCAGTATGTCTTCTTCTGTGTTAACAATATCACCTAGATCCATAATCACTTCTTTTTCAAAAATAAAAGAAAAACACTCCAAAAAGGTTATCAAAAAGTAGGGTTAGAGTTGCCGGTAATGCAATGTTGTCTGAATGTCGATTGGTGGTGTTAAGTGTTTCACACAGTATCACGAAACATTATTCCATGATCATCTTATTGCTCCTTCAAATGAGGTTCTTGTTCTTCTTCTCTTTTTTATTGTTCTAACTGGCATCTTGCCAGTGACGTTGAAATTCCTATCCGCCTATTGGCAGGGTATTATAATAATATCTTCGAAGTGCAATAAGGATCATGGAACACTATACCGATAACGTAAGAAGAACTGCTCGCTCCTATAAGAGAGCACAAAAATGTAAACAATTAAAATTGCTACATTGAAAACGTCGAAAAATTTTGAGTGTTTTTTTTCCTCTCGCAAGCAGGCCGTGAACTTAACAGATCCAGATTCTCATTAGTTGAAGCCGACAAACGACAGAAAACAAATCGTTTCTGAAATTCTTACAGAAGAAAAATAACTTACTGTTCTATGTCACAAATTAGACTGAGGAATATAAAAAACAGTGATGAGGTCGGACATTTTGTTTCTTCCAACCCGTACCTTTCGATGTCGCCGCCTTGTTTCGTCCTGATAAAAAGGAAGAGGTCACCGAAATTGGCTTTCTTAGAACAAATGAACCGCTCTGGAGTGTCCCTTCTGATTGTTTACTGTATCATAATTTTTTCCGGTGACGGAAGAGGAGAAAACATACTAACAAATATGATATTTGAAGTTGTCAGTGAGGAATGCTTCAATGTTGAGACGGGTACATCTAAGTTATCCTGAGCGATTTCAGAGTTAAGGTCTTTCTGCTAGGTCTCAAGCAATTTCGCATAGATGCGAGTCATTGTTTAAACCTTATTCTAAATTTTCCAAAACAGCAATTTTCGGTAATACGAGATCATGAACAATCACTCGACGATCGTGTGTTTATTTGTAATGTTTGTTGTCACTGTCAACAGATATGCTGTACAGTTCCTTTATCTGTGGTGGGCCCTTATTTTCATTCCCAAAAGCATGCTATATAATTTCAATCATCTCTGTTTAACTTTTGTCGAAAATTAACTAAAACTTGGATGCAAATACGTTGATTTGCCGGTCTAATATTATGTGCTACAGCCACAGTATAGTTTTACCATTCTACTATGCTACACCTATCAGGGAGTTCATGATGGACTACTGATAACGTTTATAAGCCGTTAATGGCAATCAAGCTGTCTGGCGCGAAGATATGAACGCATATCGGATACTTTTGGGATACACCTTGTGTAGAATAACTACCTACTGCGGAGCCCCTGCATTCACGGTATCATCAAATTCTGGCAGCAGATTTCTGAAACAAGCAAACGCATCGTCCAACTCCTCATTTTTGTCGATTATACACAAGGCTGAATATCGCTGAAGTTGTGTCACATCATGGTATACAAGTATATATTTAGCGGGATTACGGTTTTTCAGTCTTCTCGATGAGAACAACTGTGTTTTATAGTTTTCTATGCCAGGTTTTGTGAAATATATATTTTCGCTAATTCTGTCAATGGAGACTAGTACTCTTTTTCACTTTTTCTCTTCCAAGGCAGCATCTTCATAACGCTGTTACACCTTGAACCCAGAACACAGAAAGTGAATTATGTTTTTTGAGAATACCTACAATTATGAGACGTATTTTTTCTATTACTTTAAATTTATCCTGTGAGATCATAGCAGCCATTGAGGATTCGAATTAGATATCTGGTGCGGTTAACTTTCCTGTTTACTTCAATCTTTCTTTAGTTTAGAGCTCTTGCTCATAATGTCATTTAGGTATCTGTTCGTTGAGTTTGAGTTATTAATCTTTGACAGAACTATGTGACATTGACTAGTAGGCGTTTTGTTTTGTAACTTTAGGTTATGTTTTATGTCCAAAGTCTAAAGTTTTAAATTAGGTCTGGGTCAAAGTCCAAAATATTAAATATATGTTCAGTCGTTCAGTTTGTTTTTTTATTAGACGAATATCTGGCTGACGAGTGGGGGTTTCGGGGTTGGTTTTTTCATTTAGAAAGAATAATCAGTGAAAATAAAAATGTCGAACATAAGGCTTTTTGGGGCACTCGCTAGAATTTCCAAAAATAACATCAAATTCAATTACAGATGTAAGTAGGATATCCATTTGTTAGCTATGTGCAATATTTATTGTGTACTTTGAACTAAAATAATTTCAAATAGGAGAAAAATAATCACACTCTCCCTCTTGAGTACTCAAAAGGCAGGTGCCAATAGCACAACTAGGAGAGCATTAATCATCAAAATGCACAAACTATTTTATAGGGTCAGCATGAAGTTCTCAACCATAAGAGTTCTGATATTGTTTAAATTCATAAAAAAAATCTACTTATGAGCTGGAAAATATCACTAGTGACACATTTTTACAAGATATTTCATCACTGCAACCATGGAATATTGATGGAAAAATTGTGTTGCTTTGGAAATGCATGTAAACTTTTAACCCCCGTTATCAAGTTATCAAGAATAACTACCTTATAAAAGTATTCATGACCTACTTTATTTTTTAATTCTAATAAATTTTCATACACCAAAACTGCTGACAAGTTTTCCCAACACAAATGTATTAGAGTATTATTATAACTTTTATAATCATCTGATGAAAGTAACTTGCGTAACTTGAGGAAAATCATTTTTCTTTGGTAATTTTTTTTCAATTCAATTTTCAAATATTCAAGAAGTGAAAATTATTCAACATACCGATATTTGCACCCCTTAAACCAATACTGATAATGGCATTGATCTGTGAGACATAAGACTCCTTTGTGATCTAAAATGGAACAATAACATATATTTCAATTATTTAAACATCAGATCAGGAAAAAAAATACAGCACACAAAGTAAAACACTGATAAATACAATTTTTTTCATAAATGATCTTTCTCGTTCGTTAAAAAAATATAGGTCAATAATTTTTTGATGATAATAGACTAAATCATTCATTTTCATACCCCCTTGCACTGAATTCATTTACTTATCAATAATGGAAAGAAATCATTCATTGAAAATTATTTTCTTCTGAATATTTCAATTATTTGGTACCTCACCAGAACTGTGAAAAACTATTTTCCACACATTTTGCTTACCAAGTCAGCATCATCAGATGATGATTGCAGTTGTTAACTTGGTTCTGTGTTGGAAAATTATTTCATTGAGTTGATTGTTTCTATAAATAATTCCATATGTGAATTTGATCTTTTATTATGGATGGTTTTTTATTCCAGTCCATGGCAGAAACATGTCATCTGTAGATCTGAAACATTTCAAGTTGAAAGTGGTTGATAATGTAGGAGTTATAACAATTGATTCACCTGGAGTAAAAGTAAGTTATTTTATATAAATTTCTCAAAATACAACTTTCAATCCTCAAGCCTATAGCACCGACATGGAAACAACTACGGTTTTTCTCCAGCCAAGCTTTTGATCTGTCATTTTCGTACTTTAATTATGGAGATTGCCTTATATTAGTAATTTTTGAAATGAGAAAACTTAACAAACATGTGTATAAATTGATGATAATAAGAATATAGAAATAAAAAAAAATGCTGGGCAGGTAGAGCAAATATTGGGATTCGGGACTAATAAATGTAAAAAAAACTGGTGTGAAGACACCAGACTAACCTAACACACTTAATCTCGAAACGCCCCAACATGCTAAAGCAGAGGCATACAAGTATAATATTGATGTACATATCTATGAAATACTGCAAAACATTATTGTCGTCTAACACACTTAATCTCGAAACGCCCCAACATGCTAAAGCAGAGGCATACAAGTATAATATTGATGTACATATCTATGAAATACTGCAAAACATTTAATAGAATCCAAGAAATCGATATTTCCAAGAGAAATAAAATCCAATATCACCATTATATTAAATAAACCCAAATAGTCCCCCTGAAAAAATTTGCACGACTTGAAATAATTTCAGCCCTGTTAACAAACAATTATTTTTCTTCATGAAAAAACTATTCTAACATTACCAAATTTTCACAGAATACCAACAACTGAACTTAGTTCACTTTCCATGGAAAAATTTCAACTGTCCGAGATGCATAGTTTCCAGTGAAATCATTTTTCCAACTTCACTAAATTCTCACAGAATATTCCTAGGTAATCCTTGTATGATATGTAATGAAAAATCATGACTTTTCCAAGGGAGTAGGTAGTAATAGCTTCAAACGTCATAACAAATAAATATTTTTTTTCATGAAAAAATGTTCTAGCATCACTAAATTTTCATAGAATATCAAAGACTGAATTTAGTTTATTTTTCATTGGAAAATTCCTACTGCCCGAAAAGATTTGAGGTGACAATATTTACCCCCACAATTTAAAATCAAAATCTACCAAGTTTTTGAATCTCAATATTACCTTTTCTGTTTTAAGGTTAAGTATAAGGACGAAATAGTTTTTTTTTTCATAATATTATTTTTATTACCATAATTTTGCATTGAAAAACTGTTGAAATTTATGGCAAATGTATTAATCATGGTCCCTGAATTGTATAAACACCTACTAGCAGAAAATGTCCATGATGAAAGTGAGATGTTGCCAGATTGAAACTGTGGCTGGAAAAAATTATGACTGTTTTCAAGTGAGCCTAATTCATAACAGAGTCCTTCAAATTTGAATTCATCAAATTAAGATATGAAAGATGACTGAACTTGTTTTCCATGGGTTTAGATAAAATGACATCTGTCAGTCATATTTTTACTAGTTTTTAATGAAATATCTTTAGTATGAGCATACTGGTTATTGGAACTTCGATATTGATAAGAAGAAGTGATGGTAGAGTTCAACCTGCTGTTGTATCTTCAGTGGACTATGAACTACAATATGTCAATGTCGAGTGGTTTGAAAATGGGGAAATAAAAGGAAAAGAAATTCATTTCAGTAGTATACAAACTTTAAATCCAGATATTGTTATTGCCACTTCAAGGAATAGGGAAAATCATAGTACAGGCTGTTTCAATAAAATTGATGATAGCTTTGTCAACAAAAATAAGAGACATTCATCAGTTGGTCAAGAAAACCGAGTGCAATCTGCAAAACCAAGATTAACTCAAAGTTATGCAAAGAACCCTTCAACAATAGCAACTGAGCTCGTTGTAGAAGGTAAACGTTTACCCAATCCCAAAACCAGTCGTTCAGTTAGTGAAAATCTGTCAAAGTTCAAAGAAAGTGCTACTTTGAAAAAGTTGAACAAACTGGAGCAAGACCGAATAGAGAGAAGAAAGAAGAATGCTGAAGTGAAAGCAGAGAAAGAAGAGTTTTATAGAAAGAATCGCAACAATCCTCACTGGGAACTGTTGAACATGATTGTGCAGTACCGAAACACTATAGAATTCAATCCTTTATCGAACGCAGATGCGATTGAAGATCATTTAATAACAGTTGCTGTAAGAAAGAGACCTCTCAACGATGCCGATATGCAGAAAAAAGAAATTGATATTATCACCATTCCCAGTAAAAAACAGTTGATTGTGCACGAGCCTAAATACAAAGTGGATTTAACCAAATACCTCGAAAATCATACATTTACCTTTGATTATACTTTTGATGATAATAGCACGAATGAGATTGTATACAGATATACCGCCCAACCCCTGGTGAAGACAGTTTTTCAGGGGGGATTTGCAACTTGCTTTGCCTATGGACAAACGGGGTCAGGAAAAACTTACACAATGAGCGGAAATTTGGCTGATCCTAAGGCAAGAGGAATCTACGCTCTCACTGCTGCTGATATCTTCAAGGAAGTACACTCCCAGAAATACAAACACTCAGCTCTAAGTGTTTCATGTAGTTTTTTTGAAATTTACGTTAAAAAAGTATCTGATTTATTGAACAGTAAAAAGTGTTTGAAAATACTAGAAGATGGTCGGCAGCAAGTGCAAATAGTGGGATTGACAGAAAAAATTGTTAACTCTGTTGATGAAGTCTTACAGCTGATAAAATTAGGCAACGAAGAACGTGCTTCAGGACAAACCTCAGCGAATTCAAACTCCTCTAGATCACATGCTGTTTTTCAGATTTACCTTCGTAGTGATGATGGCTCTAAAAAGCTACACGGAAAGTTTTCTCTTATTGACCTGGCAGGAAACGAGCGAGGTGCTGATACATTTTCCTCATCTAAAATAACCAGACTGGAAGGGTCAGAAATTAATCAGTCGTTACTTTCTCTGAAAGAATGTATTCGAGCTTTGGGAAGAAAAGGTACTCACTTACCTTTCAGAGGTTCCAAACTGACGCAAGTACTTCGAGATTCCTTTGTGGGGGCCAATTCTAAGACGTGCATGATTGCTATGGTCTCACCTGGAGTCAGTTCATGCGAAAACACTTTGAACACCCTTCGCTATGCCGATAGGGTTAAAGAGTTGGGAGGTTGTGAAATTCATTTGAATAAGTCTTCGGAAAACGATTTTAATGACGCTTCTACTAGTTTTTACAGTTCTCACAGTATCACTGCTTCCCCAAATCAGAAGAGTTTCGAAAAAATAGAGAAACCAAGAAAAATGAAACTTGAGGACAGGATAATAGGTATGCACAAAGAAGTAGTGAGAAAACTGAAGAAGAGTTCCCAAGAAGCTGAAGAGCTGTTGTTAACTTCAAAATATGATGTAGAGAAGTACAATATGAATTGGAACATGTTAATTGAAGATGTTGTTACTTATTTGAGGAAGGCCAAAATATGACACTAGTAGCTGTTTCATATGAAATTTTTAACTGCAGATGTAGTTTCATTAAAAAATTGTTGATGAGTGATTTAATCTTATTTTAAACTTCTGTAGTAATATTTTCATCTGTTATACATAATAATAATTTTGCAGTTTTTTTATCGAAGCTATATAGCTACTAGGGTTTGGACAAACATAGTATGACTTGATCTTACTCATTTCACGAACTAAAGTCATAGAAAAGGAGTCAGAAAAAAATCAAATTGTAAAATCATTTAATCCTAACAAAATTATAATTCCAACATTGAGAATCTATTTTCTTTTCGCTCCAGCTTTGTCCCTTTCCTTGTGAATGATCCCTTTGTCCAATGTTAAAGGTGCCAGGTAAAATCAAAATTCTGATTCAAAGCAACACTGTAACTGTAATAATTTCTAGGTCAACTCTTTCAACGAAGAAGTGATGAACGAATTCAAGTCCCTGCTTCCAACTATAGAATCCAACTCTCAGATTCAAGCGTGTGTTCTAATTTCTGGGAAACCAGGATGCTTCATTGCGGGAGCAGACATTACCATGCTGGAAGCAAGCAAGTCTGCAGAAGAGACGACAGCAAAATCTTCGGAAGGACAGAAAATTCTAGATGCTGTTGAAAAAAGTAAAAAGCCTTTTGTTTCTGCCATCCAAGGTGTTTGCCTGGGGCTGGGATTTGAAACTGCGCTGGCTACCCACTACAGGATTGCTGTTAAAGACAGGAGTACAGCACTAGGTTTTCCAGAAGTTATGCTGGGACTTTTGCCAGGTCATTATAGTAAATTATTGCTGTGTCCATTGGGTGTTCAATTGAAAACGTACTGAAAGCCTTAATTGCCAAGGAATGAAAAAAAAAAAATCTAAAAACATGTCCAGTTTGTTGGTAAGAAGGACTACAAGTAGGGGTACTGTTACAAATTGAAAAAAAAAGGGGGAATGGGTTTTGAGTGATACAAATTGAAATGAGCTTTCAGGTTCTATCCTTGGGAATTTTGCCTTACAGTACATTTTTGATAGTCCACTCTGTATTGAAGTGAAAAGATAGAATACTATTGTTTTCGTTTTTAAAATATATGAATTCAGGTGCTGGCGGTACTCAAAGACTTCCAAGACATCTTTCTATTCCAAATGCCTTGGACTTTATGCTTACCGGCAAGAACATGAGGGCAGACAAAGCGAAAAAGATGGGAGTGGTAGATCTACTTGTTGAATCGTTGGGACCTGGCCTTGATACTCCTGCAGAAAATACACGAAGATATTTGGAAATGGTTGCAATTAACATTGCCAAACAACTGGCTTCTGGTAAACTGAAAGTAAATAGAGATAAGAGCCTCACTGATAAAGTGTTAGCTTACGCACTGCAGTACAACTGGGTGAAAGATCAAATATTCAAGAAAGCGAAGGGTCAAGTAATGAAAATGACTGGAGGACTATATCCAGCACCTTTGAGGGTAAGACAATAACAATTTATTTGACCATTTTGTTACAAAAGTACTCAAAGTAATAATAATGATAATAATAATATTTATTCATCCTTAAAGATGTTGACAAACGTATAGGATAGGTCAGTATTAAGCACATAAAAATCACATCAAACGATAAAATTGTAGATCAGTAGATAAAAATAATACAATAAAAATGTATACAATAAAAGTCAGAATTACAAAAATTGAAACAATTGTTATAAAAATTGAATATGTCATGCCAAAGCCGCATGAACCCATTCAGTCGAGATGGTCCGAGAGAAATTCACCAATACTATAGTAGGCCTTAGAAAGAAGCAATGTTTTAACTGCTTTTTTAAATTCTACAGTTTTCATTTGTTTGAAATGGTCTGGTAACCGATTGAATAATTTCATTCCCATATATTTGGGAGAATGTTCGAATTTTATAGTTTTATGTTTAGGAATGCTCAACTCCTCTGCATATCGAGTTGGGTAGCTATGATAGAATGAGTTCTTAGTACAGTCTGTTATACATTCGCGAACATATAAAAGTATTTTAAAGATGTAGATGCAGGGAAAGGTTCTGTATCTGTACAGTAGGGAGGGTGAGTGTAAGCCTACGCACTTAGGCCATAGGGAAAGGTTAAAATTTGATGACTAATGAAAAATATCTTGCATGATTCCCTCCAAGGGATGCCTAGTAATTTCCTAATAACTTTTTTTGAGCAATGAAAATCCTATCTTTGTCAACACTGTTTCCCCATAGGATCACGTTATAACTTAGATAGCTATAGACCAGACTGTAATATACATCTAAAATGGCGTGTAAAGGCATACAATTCCTTGAAGAACACTGTAGAACACTGTCTTTTCAATATTGTTGTTCTTGTTATAAAATTTTGTTAGCACTTATTTGGAAGTGTTCAGAATTGAGCAATTATGCTCATACTTTCATGTGAATTTCGTGATAACTCCAGTAACTTTTGACTACTAGTTCACCTATCATTTACCCTATGAGTGTGTGGTATCATCTACATACAATCATTATGTAGTAGTCCTGTACGTATTCAGACAAATTGTTAACAGAGAGAACAAACAATAGTGGTCCCAACTCTGAACCCTGAAGGACTCCTGTTAGTGTCTTCACTTTTATTGTTATTATATCTTCAAGAGAACTTTATCTTGAGGTATTCCTACTTTTCAGATATTGGAAGTTGTGCGAACTAGTCTGGATAAAGGTGAAGCAGTAGGCTTCAAAGAAGAAGCTAAAGCCTTTGGAGATCTTGCTATGACCCCTCAAAGCAAAGGATTGATTGGTTTATTCAGAGGACAGACACAATGTAAAAAGAACCGGTTTGGCAAACCAGCTAAAGAAGTAAAAACCATTGGTGTACTGGGCGCCGGTTTGATGGGAGCCGGCATAGCTCAAGTAAGTGCCGATAAGGGCTATCAGGTTTTATTGAAGGATACAACGTCGGCAGGTTTAGCCAGAGGAGTTAACCAAATATATACCGGGCTTGATGCTGGGGTTAAGAGGAAGAAATATTTAGGGTGAGAGTTTTTGAGCATATTGTACAGTCTATTTTTAATTGTTTTATTTTTTGTTAGACTCGACAGAGACAGATTTATGGCAAATGTCAATGCTACTTTGAGTTATGATGCGTTCAAGAATGCAGATGTGGTAATTGAAGCAGTATTTGAAGATCTGAACATCAAACACAAAGTTCTAAAGGAAGTTGAAGCTATTGTATCTCCAGACTGTATATTTGCTACTAATACCAGTGCTCTCCCGATATCTCATATAGCTGCTGCATCTAAGAGACCAGAAAACGTCATAGGTGATTTTTTTTATTATCAATTAATTCACCTTTCTCTATTGAAAAAAATGTGTGGATGTGAAATGGAAAATTTTGAGCTGTTGCATAGTCTAAGGAGAGAATGGAAAGACAAGTATTGGGTGGATGTGTAATGTATTCAAAGTAATTATAAGTACTTGAATCTTCAAAATTCAAATCACTGGATAGTTGATCAAAAATTGGTTGGGTTGGAATGTGTTTCTTCATATGGAGAATCCTCAGAACTCCTCATATGCAATTCGTAGCATATACCGGTGGATAAGCACTGAACATCCATCATCCTTGAGTCGGGTGATCAGGGACGATGGGTGGGCCTGACCTAATCTAACCTGATCTTGCAGGGTAAGGAGATTCAACATTGGTAGATTTGAAATTGGATTTGTTACAATTTCTATATTAATATTGCCGTTTTTTTAAAAAAAACATTTTTGATTGGCTTTTTGCGTCATTCATACAAGTAATTCAGGACAAGTCATCAGTTCATTGAGCAGCTTGAAGCTTCGTGAATTCTTCTGGTTTGCAATAGTTTCAGTCCCATTTCTTGTAATATAATCAAATAGTCATGGTACTGTATTTGAAGACCTCTTGAAAGAACAAAATCTCAAAAATTCATTTTGCACTCTTTCTAGAGATACACAGTGCACATTGTAAAATTGAGACCAAATGATACATGCATATTCTAACTTAAACACCACTAGAGCTAAATAAATTCTTTTTAATGCTTCAATGGAAAACCCTGAACAGTGACTTGAAATAAGACCTAGTGTTTTGGATGATTTCACACTTATTTGGTTGTTGTCAAAAGTACTTGCCTTCCTCTGATGTGGAGAAGGTTAATTTGTTCATATTGAGTAAATATTGACACTGGATAAAGGAAAACCATCACTGTGTATTCAGTGATACAGTTTATAAAAAATATTGTTTTCATAGCTTATCTGATGCTTTTTGTTTATGGTCTTCTGACTTTTCTAAACATCGTTCTTTACAAGTGATCATTGATCTCAAGAAAAAAATGTATATTATTTGTTGGTTCCACAAGAAGATGGTTAATTCATCAGGAAGTAACAATTTTGGAGGAAAATCGAAGTTTTGAAAATGACGTGATGTCACTACCATTCAGATTCACTCTCCTTTCAAACCATGTCCGAATATACGACATAACTATTCATTAGTACTACTCGATAAAATATCTTTTTGTTTTGTATTATAAAATGGTTTTTAATTTGGGAACTAACCATCAAATTGACCTAAAAAAGAAGTTGGCAATGTTATATGCAGTCAAACAACAAGAATGAAAGAAGAAGAAAATTTAATTATGCAATATGAATAAGTTTTACAGTGTTGACAAGTTCTTCTCAAATGTTAGTGACTTCACGACCATAGTTTTCAATCGATTTTGGAAAAACTACTGACAAAAAATACATGTAGTATTCACGTATGTGGTTATTCCAATATCAATGGAAAGGTCCATATTAGAGGTATATAATTTAGCGATATTCCATGCCATTTACTGCATAGTTTCATTGATATATCAATCAGGAAGTATTCTGAGTCATATTGTCACCTACTCTCCAAACCTAGTTATTATATTCGAATCATATCTTAGTGACAGGAAACAAATTGTGAAGATTTCCGGGAAGTGTTCGGATTATTCTCCTGTCAAATCAGGAGTTCCTCAGGGATCGGTACTCGGACCAATATTGTTTCTATTATACCTTAATGATCTAACATATTTACCAATCTAAAAAAATACATGTAGTTTTCACGTATGTGGTTATTCCAATATCAGTGGAAAGGTCCATATTGGAGGTATATATTTTAGTTATAATCCATGCCATTTACTGCATAGTTTGATTGGTATATCATTCAGGAAGTATTCAGAGTCATATTGTCACCTACTCTCCAAACCTAGTTATTATATTCAATGTGACTAGTCCAATTTATTTTTTTCAGGAATGCATTACTTCTCACCCGTTGATAAAATGCAACTTCTAGAAGTTATAACGACTGATAAAACCAGCAAAGAAGCAACGGCCAGAGCCGTAGCTGTAGGACTGAAACAAGGCAAAATTGTGATCACAGTAGGTGATGGTCCAGGTTTTTATACGACTAGAATATTGTCAGCCATGATGGCTGAATCGATAAGACTGTTACAAGAAGGTGTTGAACCCAAAGATTTAGATTCTCTCTCGAAGAAATTTGGATTTCCTGTGGGAGCTGCAACTCTGGCCGATGAGGTGGGGTTAGATGTTGCCGCACATATTGGCCCAAATCTAGCTAAGGTAAAAGACTACATACATTTTAGAAAATTTCAAGTGATTTCTAATTTTTTTTAGGCGTTTGGTGAAAGATTTAGTGGAGGAGATTTGGGAGTGATGAAGGACATAGTCCAGGCAGGTTTCCTAGGTCGAAAATCTGGAAAAGGGATTTTCATTTATGAAAAAGGATCCAAAAGTAGAGAGGTGAACCCAGAAGCAATGGATATCATCAAGAAGTATTCTGTGGCACCAAAGGGTTCTTTCGAGGATGAAGATAAAACACTTAGGATGATAACCAGATTCGTCAATGAAGCTGTTCTTTGCTTGGAAGAAAAAATCCTGGCTAATCCCCTGGAGGGAGACGTTGGTGCAGTTTTTGGGCTGGGATTTCCCCCATTCACAGGAGGTCCTTTCCGATGGGTAGACCAGTACGGTGCAGGAAAATTGGTTGCTAAAATGGAAATGTTTGCCAATTCATATGGTCTTCCTTTCAAACCTGCTCAGACCCTTGTAGATATGGCTAAAGATTCCAGCAAAAAGTTCCATCCTAACTGAGTTGTTTTCAAATGTATTAATGTGCCTTGTTCGGACTTTTAATTATTTTGTTTTTAGAATAATTTTATACTTTATATCTTATATTACAAAAATATTAAATTAAATACTGTTTTTGTTAAAATGCATGTTTTTTAACTGACTTCAATAAGTGGAAAATTTTCCGTTTGATAATTTATATAGAGCAGAGATGAAACAGATATCCAGTAACTATTTGGTGGCCTAAATACTATCTGGCCAAATAGCAGATAACTAGCGCCTATCCAGCCGAAAACTGGATAAAAAATTCTTAGGCAGTTGATTGCTTTATTTAGTTAGTATCACTTGAGAAATACAATCAGTAGTCACACAATCATTCTACAACTTGGAAAATTAATTCGTACATATACTACACTAGGGGCAAATTATGGTGAATGAATACCAATTTCTCTGCATTAAGAGGTAGCAAGTGGTTTCCCTTGTCTTCATAAATAAGATCAGCTTTAGAAAATAGCTTTTCGCTGTACACACTACAGTAAGGTGCAGAAAGATAGATGCACTGCAATCAATACAACGAATGAATGAAACAATTGTTAACTTTGAAAAGATCCGAATTGGACCACCCTATCGTTCAGGCGCCGCCTATGCAAGCGTGCTTCTTGCGATGCACCAAATGGCAAGGTTTTGCCGGATATTCAGCATCCGAAGCTCTGGCTGCTAGGTTGGCCGAATATTCAGTATCTGGCTAAACTGCTATTTATTTCATCTCTGAAGAAACGTGTTTTGTAAAGCTCAGATCAGACCTTCTTTGGAGTATTGTTCATATTTATGGAGCTCCGCCTCTGAGCATAGGTACCTTGAGGCTCCTGGATTCCATCAAGAAAAGATCCATCCGCCTGATTGGAGACGCGAACTTACAACCCTGATAGTCTGGATAGGTTAGGGATTTGTCTCTCTTTTATAGATATTTTCATGGGAAGTATTCAAGTGACTTGCCAAGAGCGGTACATAGAAATACGCGACGGACTGTGGCTGCTCATTGTTTTGAGGTTCAACTCAGTACACCCCGAACATCACTGTTTAAGAACTCTTTCATTTGGAGAACAGCGCTCATGTGGAATAAACTTCCTGAGAACGTATTTCCAAATGGATATAATCTCCAGCGATTCAAATCCAATGTGGCACAGGCACCGCTCTTAGAACGCTTCAAGGATTTTCCTGCTGTGCTTGTGTGTTGTTCTTAAAAAATACTTTTACTTGTGTGATCTTTCATTGGTTGCTCGAATCTCGTCAAGATAACTATTTAAAATTTTAAGTTGATTCTATCTATTCAGTGGCTCAAAATAATTATTAATTAATTAAGAAGTGACTAAATCTTTTATTTTGAAAAAAAATCAACACTGAAGTAGTTTTAAAAAAATGAAACAAGGTAATAAAAAGACATATGGTGACCTGAAAAATATTTGTGATATTGTATTTGAAAATCAAAGTAATGAAAAAATTGAAGAGCAAAAATTTGGGCCAGTAGGCCGTGGTGGAATGGAAACTGAAGTACCAAACGTTTCATATGCTTCTGCGACAGATATCAGTGGTATGTACCTCGAAGTCTCAGCAACAACTGACTCGCGAACTACGTGTTCACTCCTATTTATAATTTCAGAGGGTTTTGACGAGGCGAGATGGCGAGGGTGATAGCCATGGCAGGGTGCTCATGCAAATGTTCACACCTGATTGGTCAGTACTTTTAAGAAAATTTATTTAAGATGGAAGGAATATCGGGAAATCATATTGTTGATCTCAGTAGTGAAAATTAAAAATTATTGCACTTAAGAATGCCAGAAATAGACTAGAATGCAATTCTAGTCAGTTCAATGACCAATTAGAATAACAATAACAGTGCAGAACAATCAGAATAACCCAGCAAAAGTACCGAACAATCAGGTGTAAGCATTTGCATAGACACCCCGCCATTCAGGTACTACCATTGAGCACACTTGCAGACCGGTTTCGGGCTATTTGGCTTCTCGTCAGTGCAAGGTAGTTGCCATCATCAACATAGAGTCGATATTTCATAATTAAAATTCACTGCACGTCGTCTTGATTTCAAATAGGTTGGAGCCTGGCTCCCTTACCCTTTGGACTGATGTTTGCCAGAAGGACAAACGGGTCATAACTGATGGTGAGTGTTGATGGTATGGCGGCATGAATGTCCTCAGACATCAGTACCGCCCTTCACGGTGTACCCCTACCTGGCTGGGGTGGGTTGGATGAAAAAATTGTTCATCTTTTAACGGAGGACATAGGGGCCTCATGCGACAGAGTTTCGGGGCCTTCTATATCGGGAGAGGTCGTCTACAGTATAATCCATAGCTTCCCTGACTAATGGGTGTTCATGAGTTTCTGCACCATCAAAAACTCTCTGATTTCTCGACTGGATGGAATGCCGAATGGAAGGCAGCTGCAAATCTCTGCGTATAGCTTCAAGGATCATTCACAATCATCCTCATTAACTTGTTTTGCGATACCTCCAGAATGGAGATATTATATTTCGCCGCTTGTCCCCAGACGCCTGAAGCATACATGATGACAGGCTTGAACATCGTATTATTGATGGTAATCTTGTTCTCAAGACTCATTTTAGATCTTCTGTTGATCAGAGGGTACAGACGTGCTATCCGACCCTCGATCTTTGATTTGACGCTCATTATGTGCGGATTCCAAGTGAGCCTGCGATCTATTAGAAGGCTGAGGTACTTTACCCGCGCTTGCCAGTCAATCTTCCTTCCAGAGATTCTCACTTTTCTGGCCGGAGAAGATCTCAGTCTTCCCATGGTTATCACCTGAGTCTTTTCCGGGTTCACTCGGATCTTCCAATCAAGGTACCAGCGCTCGAGGTAGTCCAATGCACGTTGCATGTAGACGACGCCGAGCTCTCGATCCATGGAAGATGAGAGGAGAGCCGTGTCATCGGCGTACAGAGATATCTTCACACGCTCGGGCCTCGGAAGGTCACTGGTGTAAAGTGAGTACAACGTCGGACAGAGCACGGCCCCCTGTGGTACTCCAGTAAGGATCCCTCTACTCTAACCTGAAATGTCCTGTCTTTCAGGAAAGACCCAATCCACCGGATGAGGCGTTTAATTTGTGCAGAAGACCTTCGTTCCAAACACGGTCGAAGACCTTCGAGATGTCAAGTAGCACAATGTTCACTTTTTTGTTGGAATTAAGCTCTTTGATGGTGTTTTCGACCAGCCTTAGAGCCTGTAACTCAGTGGACTGTTCTCTCCTGAAGCCAAATTGTTCATCAGGCAGAACATTTCGGTCCTCAACTTCTTCGTTAAGCCTTTGGAGAACAACTTTTTCAGCCAGCTTAGCTGCCGACGAGAGTAGACTGATCGGACGATAGTTCTGTGGGAACAGCGGGTTCTGACCCTGTTTTGGGATCATGACGACGATCGCATGCTTCCATCTTTTGGGTGGAAAACCCCTGGCTAGATCGATTCCGGCAGTTGTATCGCCAACAGCATATGCAGGAAATACTTTAGTGAAGATCCCTGCACTGACACCTGTCAGATATAATCCAACGCCCTTCGTAGTATTAGCCAGAGCAGTAGTTGTTCTCTGACCTAACCTATAGTGTAGGATATTGATCTGTACCAAAAGAACATCTGAAGGAACAATTCGTTCAGGCCAGTGCCTGAACGAATTGTTTCTTTAGATGTCTTGAAGTATGCCCACTGACTATATGTGAACACATTGTTTTGTTTGAATTTAAAAATAGAAAGCGCTCTATGAAAGACCTTTTTCTTTCTTTTAAACATTGAATTACACGAAATAAACTACTTGTATATGATGAAAAAATATGTTTTTATACCACTTGTAACAGGACTTTCAATTATAATTTTTTAACACGTTTTTTTATTATTATTAGCTTCACCTGTATGTATATATGCTTGTTTGTTTGTTTGTAGCTCTGGATCTGTATTTGACAGAATTATCGACATTATTGCTTGATCTATTCGCAGGAAGACGGCGCTGTACGTATATATAGATATATAGACATTATATATGATATATAGACATTATTGCTTGATCTATTCGCGGGCAGATGGCGCTGTAACCTCCTTGATATAATTCGAACACACTTTACATGTATTTTTTCATTTGAAAAAAATATTTTTCAACACGCGCGCCTGCTGCCTTGGGCTTCGTAGCTGATTTTCAGGCTCCCTCTCCGGAATTGGAAAATATCAATGGTCATTTTTCTAAACAATATACGGCTGATTAATCCCAAAGTTCAGATGAAATAAATATACTTCAAAAAGACTAAAAAACACGCTTCTTTAGCATACAAAACTAAAAAATGAAAAATAAATATAGTATAGTATAGTATTATTGTGAAAAAAGCGTGGGCGCTTTGTGCCATATTTTNCTTCCTCAAGCTGTGGTGTTCGTACTTCTCGATGGTGACCACAATCCTGCGTTCTTTTGTCGAATGAACCATATTCTTGTAATCGTTGATGAAGTCGAGCAAATATTCTATGTGAAGGATGCTACCGTTGAGGATACATTTCAGCATATCTTCTAGAAGCGTCTAACCCATTCCCCTGTGACAGATCGTAAACGTAATGCATATCAGTCATTACCTCATTTGTGTATGCCATTTTAATAACAAGCAAATTATTAAAGTAACAAATTGAGAACAGAACAACAACACACAATTAGTATTAATTCAATTTCGAAAATTCACAAACACAGCGTCATACCAATTTAATTGTCACTATCGCTGATAGCGACCTATTAGATACAGTAGTTTCGTATTTTCGCATTTATGACGATGTATCTCTGTAGTTGTTCGTAAAATAATTTTTTGCTGCGAACTGGTTTATTTTGGGCAAAAAACCCATGAGACATTTTTTGTTTAGAATGAAACAGGCTATCGGAAATAAATTTTTAAATGGTTAACAAATAATAAGACAAAAAGTTACATTGGAAGTAAATTTTAGGGGTTGCGTTTTCCACCCCTTACAACCATGGGGTAAACCAAATAAATTTCTGGCTAAGTGTCTTTTTGGTAGTACAAAACGTCAGGTTAATTTCAATATTGTAACTTCTTCAGTGCTTGTGAAAAAAATTGTTAACAAATTTTATGTACCCCCTTCAAGGGGCTGTGTCTTAACAAGGGATGCTCCAATGAAGTTTCTTTATATGAAAGATCCTATCTTTTTTTCGATGAGGAATCACCTCCTTAAATGTTTTACACTAATTCAGTTACACCCTGTATGAACATAGAATTATACAAAAACACACTTTCTCCTATCCAGCTTGTATTTCAAACTTTTTCAATTAAAACAAGAAAGTTTAAATATTGAACCGAAAAAGATTAATATGCCTTAGTGATGACGTTGGAACAGTTGACGAAGACCATCCTCGTAGGGTCGGCGTTCCCGACGCCGCTGACTGTCCAACTAGGCTATCCGCGCACGCGTCTCGACGTCTTCTCGACGTCGCGACGCTCAGCTGGGCCCGGGAGTTAGTACGGCCGCGTCGACCAAACCGTTAACGAAATGACGAGCTGATAAGCGCCGAAAAAATCCCACAAAAACGACAAGAAATTATGATCGGCCCAAATGTGACACTACCGGCCCGCAGTGATTGAGTGGTGCGATGCAACAGCCGAACCAAGTGCCGGATAATGGGGCGACTTCCACGGGAGCCACGGGGACGGCGACCACTAGGAGTCACGTGAACGGCGGTAGATTTGACTTCGACGACGGGGGGACGTACTGCGGGGGGTGGGAAGAAGGCAAGGCACACGGGCACGGGGTTTGCACCGGGCCCAAGGGACAAGGGGCCTACTCTGGATCGTGGCACTACGGATTCGAAGTGTCGGGAGTCTATACTTGGCCGAGGTAATTTTATATGAGCGTGCTTTTGTTACTACTTTTGGAGTTACTCCTGTGTAATTTTGAGGATCAAAGTCACCGCACTCCTCAACTGTCTTTACTTCGTTAATATACATGAGGTGGATCCATGTCATCGATGAGGTTGGAGCGAACCACTGCTATGAAATGGATTTGTCGGAATTTCTTAACGATTCCGAGGATTTCCAATTGTGCGTTTTAAAAATACCGCTCTCAAGTACTTGGTACAGAGTACAGAATACAACCAACCTACTCGTTTGTTAATAATAGTTATGTATGTTTATACAGAAACGGGTCATACCAAAGTCAGACCATGTGGATCAAGTATGCGGTGGCTTTGGACGAGTCCATATCATTTGATGAAAGTCAATGTGGACTGAAATGTAAAGAAAATTCTAGGAGGGAGGAATTCAAATCGACAAGTTTTGTTCGGTGTTATTCTTAAAACGTTTTTGATGTCATCTGTTGTTGAAGCACTATGTTTGGAAAACATTTCAAACATATACTTGACTGAATTACTCTGAACTTTTTATTTTATTCAAAACTCATACAACATACTAATCACAATAGAACTAACTGAAATTGATCAGTTGAAATTGATTTTACTCAACAATGAACGTAATATTTAATATTTGGTTTGAGGGTGGAAATATTACCGGTAATGAGAAAACATTTCTTGAATTTCCCTCAGGTTCCATAATATATCACTTTTCTGGACTGTTGACTATTCTTAAATTCTGAATGACTTTCTCAATGTTCAACATATCACTGACCCTAGTATGAATGACTGTGAAAATCATGGAAAAAACTGTCAAATTCTAATTGGGTAAACCAACATCATTATCTGAAAATTTCACGACTTTTTAATGAAAGATTTGTGAAGCTCATGATTTGATTAATTGGAAAGCAACAGTAGGTATTATTCCAAGGGAAATATAAGAGGACGCACGTTACAGTTTTGCCACTAATTAGTTGTGGTACAAAATATGTTACTAATGAATTGAAATGGGTATATTTTTAGGAGCGATTCATTTCTGGGAAAAAAAGGTTTTGGCTGTCTACTTATCCATCTCTATCTGAAAAAAGCCCTCTCGAAGCAATTACTTTCATATAAACATTGAATAACGCGAAACAAATATTTTGAAATAAATATTTTTAGCGGCAGTTGTATCGCCAACAGCACATGCAGGAAAAACTTCAGTGAAGAATCCTGCACTGACACCTGTCATATATAATCCAACGCCCATCGTGGTATTCGCCAGGGGAGTAGGGAGTTGAGACTGGTTTGAACGAATTGTTCCTTTAGATGATGTCAAATATGTTTATATGAACACTGAACTATACGAAAAACAGTTTTCTCTATTCAGTTTGTATTCTAAACATTCGCTATGGAACTGAATCAGATATCATTCACAGGATTCCTACACAATATAATTAATGACACTTACATGGAGCACTGTCTTCCTCACTGGTGGGCATTCGATGTTTCGGCGTAAGACACTTGCTTTAACGCCTCTTCAGCACCAACTTTTTTTAAATTGATTGCTTTCTTCGTTCTTTCGAAACGTTTCCACATTTATTTGTATAAAGATGGAGAAGTAGAAAGCCAAAACCTTTTTTTTTAAATGTTACTATTCTTACGCACAAAAATTATAATCGCTTACACTTTAGTTTCATTTAAGAAAACTTGAATCTGTACAGGAAAATCACTTTTCGTACTGATGTTCACAATCTCAACATCAGATTTAAGGATTCTCTTACCCCACCTAGTTTTGAAACTGAATTTTTCAAGCGATCTTTTAGCTATAATATATGTCAAGTGATTAACCTGTTACCAAAATAAATAAGAAATTCAGAACCTTCTGTTTTACGGAAGAGATTCAAACTCCTTCTGTTCGAAAGCCATCTTTAAGTATAAACTGCCACACCCTATAAATTTTTCATCATCATGAGACCGGAATAAGTCTGAGTAATGGACGTCTTCACCAGCATCTTAATAGATATTTGAACAATCCCAATTTTTTTCATGTATTACTTTCTTTTTGTCTTAGCTTAGGTAGAATCTTTTTGAGGTAGAGTTAGCACTTGTACTAACTGAGTTGAACTTCGCCTTTTGTTATATCAGTAACTAGCTCTGTAATTTATTTAAATATTTCTATGTAACTATAGCTGGGAAACAATTATGACGATTATTATTATTATTATCTTCAACAAATCGTGTTTCAACTTATACGAAGAACCAAATAACGACAATCTACATCCTTATATTTTAACTGTATGATGTTGCTGAAGAAATCCTGCCTGGTTACTTTGACTTTGAGAACTATTTGAAATGTTCTTCGATTCCTATGAATTTGTTATTCCATATTGTGTAACATAATTATACAATCTCTTATGAAAAATCTTCTCGGGACAAAATAGGATAAGAATATTAGTTATACGAAACTGCTTATTACTGAATATTTATGCTCTGAATTAGTTAATTATTCATTTTTCTCTGCCAGCATATTTCCAATTACTATCAAAATAAGAGAGAGAATGTCAATGTACGGAGTCTCCAAAATATTCGGAAAAGAACATTTTCACAGTCAGCCAACAAGGAAGTGCAAAAAATTGACTTTGAGAATAGTTCATTGCTACTATAAGAAGATAATGGTAGAGTGCGAAGTACCCTGTTGAGATCTTTGATAATTTTTATGACCCCAAAGAAGCGTTCGACTTTATTGATCAGATTACACTTCTTTTATTCCAAGAAGTTAATTGTTCCAAAGAGAAAAAAGTTATAGTTGAATTTTTTTTAATTTAATCTTGATCTTGAAGATGATCACTTGGTGATCGAAACATGTGTCGAGGTGTTAAAATAACAGTTTGGTGTTGGAAAAAAACTCCGGCAATATTCAATAATTATGCGGATTTCCTCAGGAATCTTAATGCGTTGTTCATGTTGAGATAGGTCTCTTAGATAGGTTTTCTTAGGTCCCAAATCCAAAGGTATGTATTTCTTATTCTTGTACAACTTTCTTCAAATTTTCTTTTTGCTTCTGGTGCAAAACAAAGTACACACGAGCAATTGCTTTGCAGACTACCTGGATTTTGGAAAGTTTTGAAGGGGCTCCTCCAGTGACTTTAGCCACCCTCATATTGGTAAGTTCCGTTTTGAACTCATCGAGCTGCTTAATCAGCTTCTTCTTGTCTTTGGTTCGCAAATCTGAACACTTAACCATTTCCATGTTCCCTCTTATGAAACGAGTCGATGAAAAAGTCTATGAACAGAATAGGTGGCTTTGGACGACTCCATATTATTCGATAATAGTGGATATAGTTCCTCTTGTAGTTTGAGAACCAGCAACTAGTTGAAGTATTTTTCCAACACATAAAAAATGTGTTTATTAATCGTCGTTTGTTTTGAGTATCTCTACACACCGTTGATGAGTGTTTTGCATTTCGAAGGATACAAACGTTCAGATATGGATATAATTATCAGAAAAAGAAAAAGTACAGTATTTTAATCCCCGGTAAATTTTCATCTTAAATCGGTGGAATGTTGAGAAACATTCGAATGACTGTAAACAATCTCGTAAAACAACAAAAGAGTTTGTTTTTTTTAAAAATAGTACAAGCTGAGTGGCAAAAAGTGATTTTTTGTATAACTCATTGTTCATATGAAAGTAGCTGTTTCAAGAGGACCTTTTCTTCCAGTTTGTGTCTGAAAATTACTCATTTGCATGATCTACACATCTTTGTGAAGAGTTTACTTCGAAATTAATTACTTTTTTCCTTCCTCTGATAGTTTTTCTTATTATTTGTATAACAAATAACGAAATAAAGTTATTTATTATTTGTATAAAGATGGAGAATTAGAAATCCAAAACATTTCTTTCCCAAATAACGAAATAAAGTTATTTATTTTTGGATTATTCTTTTTAGAATGGAAGATAACCGTTTACTTTTTTTGCATAGTGAATGGCTAATATAATTTTGGCATCATTCAACGCCATAAAGAAAAATTGCAATAACAATGTAAAACTACCAAAAACCGGATGCAGCACATAAACTATCGAAATTCATTCCAGAAAAACTGTTAAATTCCATTTGGAAATTATATGGCAATTAGTTGTTTCCATCTCGTTATTGTTTTTAAATGACCAGTTGCATTACGTTTCGGTAAAATGAAAATTAGGCACATTTCAATTTACCATAGGCATTTAACCGTTCGATAAGTGACTCATATGAATATGAATATAAATAAAAATATCCACTCAATATTGAGAAATTTGATTTTCTTCGATTTTAATGAGAGTTTCTGTAGTTCGGTGATCATTAGATATAAGTATTATTCTTCATTACGGTCCTGATAATCGCTCGAATCAAAGCAAAACTTGTGTTCTCAACAAAGTCCTTGCTCTCCATTGTTAGAATTAACAACTTCCTTAAAGGTCTTGATATCCCCACTTTCTATTTCATCTGAGGTTTTATCAGTTGCAACCTCTAGAAATTTGAGAAAAAACTTGCATAATAATAGTACAATTTTGTCTCTCGCTCTTCAGTAAACCTCATAAGCTGTGGTTTCTGGCACAATACGGTCATTGCAATATATGAGAAACTTGAATCGGTGTAATGATTTTTTCTATCCAGTATTTTCGATACCTCCAGAAACTTTGTATGAGTTTCATATTACAAAAGATAAACCCATTTTTAAGAGTCAATGTCCCAGCTCATCTTTCATAAACACGACTTTTGTTTATATATTTTTTTATGATGCACTGTTTGGAACCTTTGGTGTAGTAATGAATATTACTGGAGTTTTTTCCCAACACAAAATCGCTATTTTTAACACCTCGACACGTGTTTCGATCACCAAGTGATCATCTTCAAGGAGAAGATTAAACTAGGTTTTTTTTTTATATACTTTTCAATAAACTTTTATTAGTTTGTATTTTTTTTCTCTCGAGAGAGATCGTAGTGTTACCTACACTCCGCGAGAGCCG